AGGAAAAAAAATATGGAGGGAAATGTAGGGGACAGTCTGAAGAAAGGAAAATGTGAGAGAATACTGAGTGAAACATTTGTTCAAAACTCAATAAATTTATTTGTGATGTTTGTTAAAACTCGTCTTATTCATATACTCTGTATTTCTATTGCACAATATAGACTAAGGCCCCGTTTGGTACATGGAATTCAAACTATGGAATTGGAATTGGGGACTTCAATTCCAATTCTGGTGTTTGGTAGCACATATATTATGTGGATTTGGAATTGATAGTGCAAAAAATGAATTGGAATGGGTGAATTCAATTCTATAGAATTGAATCCCATAGAATTTCAATTCCATCAATTCCGTATACCAAACGGACCCTAAGAAATCTAAATTAATATAATACCCCGTAAGCTTTTTTTTTTGTTTTTTTGGAAACAAAATATTATTTTCCAAGATTAAAATTTAAGACTAGCACTTCTAAAATGTCTTCTCAGTCCTCCCTCTCTCCACCCCCATCCACCCACCATTTTCTAGGATCATAACATACCCTTTAGGGTCATTGTGTGGAAATTTTGTCACTAAGTAGGCCTTTATTTTAGCAATTGATATATGGAGCCGAGGGTAAGGGCTATTTGTGACTTAAATATTCAGGGTCGACAAGGTATGAAGAAGAATAATCTGAAGGAGTCAAGCAGACAAAGAGAAACTGAGTAGACTTGCGTGGGATGCGAGCAGATGAAGCTTCTCATTAACTCAGCATTGCCATTGAGCCATTGATGGAAGAGGGCCAGAGTCCGTTCTCTTTGTTATTCACGGGATGGGGACACGTGTCATTAAGGGATTGGTCCTTAAGTTGCTGAGAGATCATCCTCACGTTGTCAAGCTTGAACGGGAAAGTCCCATGAATTACGGTTGTACAGTTGCTTATCTCAAGTAGTAAGTTTCTCCTTCACTCAGATATACTCCCTTTGGCTCAAAACGTATTCGTTCAGTTTTACTTTTTTGAGTCAAACTGAATAAACTTTATTCACCAAATGCATTAGATCTAATTATGTTTGTACTAATATCTAATGCAATTTTTATTTAATTGACAATCAAAGTTTGTCTAGTTTAATTCAAAAAAGTCAAACTCTATGACGGAGGTAGTATAAAAATGGCAGCACTTCCTCTGCCCAATACTTTCTTTCCCGTTTTGACTGGACACGGAGACTAATAAAAGTTAAAAATTGTAAAGACTTTCCCAATTTTTCTTTGATGTGATGTAATAAAAGAGAATAATGTAGATAAAAAGTTGGAGTACAACGGTATATTCATCACAAGTTTTTTGCCAAAATAAGAAACGAGAAAGAAATTTGTGGACGACCCACAAAAGATAGCGAGAAAGAAATTAATGGACTGAGGGAGTACATGAAATGTGAGCGCTTTTATTTTCGAGTTGTGCTATCATTTTCCTTCACAAGGAAAGAGCAATCCTTGGAGTTAAATTCAGCTTGTGCAGGGTATGAACTATGAATGGAACATGGACTTGTTTTAAAGGGTTCCATCTTTCCTATTTAAGGAAAAAAGAGCTTTTGGTGTTTAGGATGATATATTTATACTTGAATATTACGGAGTATAAGTTATTTTTGCCCAAATAGCTAGAAATCATTTTTAGAAGGGAGTTTTTGCCATAGTATGATGATCAACATCTAATTTTTGGAAATTGTGCAAGGTTGGTTAGGAGCTTGTTCTTTTTTGCTTTAATTTCTTTTCTTTTCCGTTCGAATTCCTTGAACTAAACATAGTGTAAAGGATTAAACGAACAAATTTCTTGTTGATTGGTGAGTTGTTCACAAACATTTCTCCGATAAGAGTTGTCTGTGAAATTCATTTTCTGAAAGCACAAAAAATTTAATTTTCCTCGTTTTAGAAAGAGGTACTCCGTACATTATATATATATCATATCTTGAAATTTAAAACATATACACTAATCTAGTTTTTGTTGTATAAACAAGACTTAACTGTGTATTTTAAAATTTAGGAGTGCTTCAACCATATATCACAAGTCCACAAAAAATTTGTGATTCTTCTCATAATTTCTTTTAAATTGTTTATCTTACCACTCTGTCTCGCTCATTTGTATGTGCATCGGAGACCTACTATAGACTTTTTTTCGTCTCATAATTATCTTTCTATTTTCATAATTTAGCTGTTCCAATTTTTTTTCTTTTCCTTTAAAGAAAAAAATTCTGTGACCCATATTTTTTTATTTTTCTTCTACACAAACCACAACATGTCTGCAAATTATACCGTACATCCGGCTATACGGGAAGAACTGTACAACCGGCAATTAATTAGGGCGAACGGGGACCTGCTGCAAGAACGGCCGAATGGATCGGCCACGAAGGAGGCTGCGCCATTGATTCTCGATCGGCGATTCCCGATGAAGGAGGTTGCACGGCGATGAAGATGGAGGTTGTTGATGAAGGTCTTCCGCGGAGGTTGTTGATGAAGATGGAGGTCGTTGGATTCCCGATCAATTCTGCTTCCAGTTGCTCACGATGGTCTTCCGCGCTTATCTTTTCTTCCACGTACCAGATTTCAGACATATGATTATATGAATGGTAAGTTGTTTAAGATTGAGTATAGGTTATATGGGAATAAGTACTACTGTCTTTTAGAATGAATATTATGTTATTCGTAAATGAATATTGAACAAATTTGTGAAAGTGAGTACGACGTTATTTCTGAATGAGTACTGCATTATTTCAGAATGAGTACCACGTTTTTCAAATGAACCATTATGCTTGTGCGAGAATGATTACTACTTTTCTTCGGAATGAGTACTACATGGATGTACCTATCTTTAGGTACATCCGGATGCACCATATACCAACTCCAACATGTCCAATTTACTATTTATAAGATCAAACGAACTATATACACAGATAACTCTATTTTTCTACTTATGGAAGACCATACGAACTATATAGACATATATTTCTTTTTTTACAGACAAGCTACCAAAGGACGTTCTTTTATATTCTTGTAATTGAAATCCGACTTTGAGAATAATTAAAACTTTGATGCTTCCTCCGTGTTGGAAAGACCTTTTAAATCAGTTGTGAACCGATGCAAAAGGTAGTGAACCCTTGGTGGCGACGGCAAAAGAGCGACGGTGCAGTGGTAGCGCTGAAGGATAAATAAATCGCATAAGAAAGATAGGTTGTGTGTGATTATTTTTAATGCATCGTTTTGAATCGGTTATTAGTACTAACCGATTCAATTAGGCTATTAAATCGGTTATTACTAATTACCGATTCAATTGCTACCGGTTGACGAAATTAATTATCCCATTTGCATCGATTTTCTCTATTCTCTAAAACCGATTCAAATGAGATAGTCAATTTGGCTCTTTTTTGTAGTAGTGAGTGAAAATAGACAAAAAAAGCCACAATTTAATCTTATAAATAGTTAATTGGATTTTTTTGGAAGAGAGAGAGCAAAAGAGGTGTATGTATAAAATGCTAGTGTGAATGAACTTTAAATTCCATGCAACATTACTCAGCCTTAGATCAACCTTCAGCCCCTTCAAACCCAGGTATTTATATATGCTTTTTTATCTCCAGATCTCTCTCTATGTTTTTTATTTTGGATTTCAAATATAAGAATCCTATGATCTTTTGTGCATTGGACTTTTATTTGGAAATCAATTAGATCGCAGATCCTCAAATTCAGTATTCTTAGAATAATAATGCTTATAATGATATAATAATAATAATAATAATAATAATAATAATAATAATAATAAAAGTAATAATAATAATAATAATAATAATAATTACTCCATCGTAGTAATAATAATAATAATAATAATAATAATAATTCAGTATGTGTATATATATGTGATTCAAAACTCCTGGCGGCCTTTAACATTTCTTAATGACGCCATTCTTTTGAAAATTTCACTCGATTCTTCTGACATTAGATTTGAATGTCATATTATGATATTGTGTCCATTTGAGACTCTTACAGTATTCCATTATACCCTGAAGTGATTCTTACCATCTAAATTTCCGTCTAAAACCCACACCCACCGTACCCTGCCCCTTGCACCCTACATACCACATCTCCGATCCCCACAGTCATCCCCTCATATTATACGAAACCACCTATGATCGATTCTTGTCGCAATCCCATATTATGGAACGTTGCCATGAGAAATGGGTTTACAAGATAAGAAAGTGTAATTACGTGTAGCAAGTCACTCACATTGTTGTTTTAAAAAAATGAAAGAGAATCTAAATAACTTGGGACTCAAACATCCAAATACAGTATAGAGTAAGTATATATTAAGTAACCTTGTGAGTAAAATTGGAAAATAGTGAGTACAAAAAGTGACAAAGAGAGGAGGCAACATTCTTCCGCCTAGAACATCACATATTCATTAGGTTTCATCACATTGCCCAAATCATTTGTTTGTCAAACTTTTTTTTGTAACTAAGGTCATGTTCTCTTCACTTGATCTGATTGGAATAAGTTCTGAATCTGATGTGGTCTGATCTGATCTGAATGTAGTAATATTCAAGACTATTTCTGATCTAATCTCAATAAGAATAAGTAATAAGTAAAAAAATAAATTGAGGAGAACATGGTCTAAGCCATTTTGTACATGAATTAAGCCCGGGGCATCGCAAGGTAAGCCTAAATATGCCTCAAACTTCTCACAAACACACACAATACATTGTTTGTGTGTGTCTGTGTGAAGGGTATGTAGATGCAAAAATGGGGTCATCCTTTGGGTATCTCTAGCATTATTCTTTGGTACATATATATAACATTTCCCTTTTCTAGTTTAGATACCAAACCTTGCTTTGTAGGGTTGATTTATAGGGATGCTTTAAATTTGTATGTCCCATCTTCATGATGCTTTAGCTCTCTCACAACCAATAAGCTCTCTATCGAGAGCTCACCTCTTCATTTTTACAATTTCTTGCTCTATATATATAAGGTCTACACATTTATAAGATTACAAGTACTATTATTTTTTTATGAACATATGTATGTAGAATTTATAGAGAATGAACAACTTAGAAGCAGGGCCATCATCAAAAGCAAGAGTAGGGGCACCCCAACACTATGACGGTTCATTGAAACGCAAACGTGGAATGTTTCAAAAAGACTGTGAGTTATTCGTATCTTTCTTTTTGAAGGTAGAGTAACTTTCATTGCAATAATATGATTTTACATGCAATGACTTAACTTATTTCATTTGTGCTGATATATGTGAAGTGCAACACATGATGTACGGTTTTGGAGATGACCCCAACGTATGTATTATTATAGTTTTAAAACTTTCGTCTTATCAATTCCCTTTCCTAAACATGTTTGGGTATTCTATATTTGTCAGTTTCTACCCTTTTTTCCCTGTAATTTGTTAGCCTATTTATATTGTTAAATTCAACTCGAGCTGCATTTTCAGCCACTCCAAGAGACAATGTTGCTTGTAGAGGACATCGTTGCCGAGTATGTCACAGATATGGTGAGAAAAAAACATTTTTTTTTTAAAATCCAGCTTATACTTTCTCAAGTCTTAGGGTGTGTTTGGCAAGGTGACAAAAGAACAGAAGAAAAATGAGTGAAAAGTTGTTTGTCTTGATATACATATCCATGAATACAAAGAAAACATCATTTGATGTATATATCTGCAGGTGCACAAAGCTGAAGACATTGCGACGAAAAGAGGGAGGCTTCTTGCAGAGGATTTTCTCTTCTTAATTCGCAAGGTTCGTGTGTTCAATTTGTGTGTGATTAAGTGAGTTTTCAACTCAATTGAAACAATGTTGCACAATGTGTTGTGGTTGCAGGACTTGCCAAAGCTTAGCAGATGCACCGAATTGTTGTCGATGAATGAGGAGCTGAAACAGGCAAGGAAGGCTTTTGAGGTTGACGAGGAGAAGCTCGCTTCCCTCGAGTAATTTTATTATTATTATTATAAAGATTTACATATTTTTTTTAAATAAAAAAAAATGGTGTTTTCTCATTGAGTTTATTTACATCATATTTGGGATGAGGGTGGATGCAAAAATTTGAGATTGCCTTCATTTTTTTTGTTCTGAATCTTGAGAATTTGAACATTGTTGTTTATGACTACAAGGCCATTCAATGTTCAATCTGCTTTTAATCTTGTTGCATCGCCATTTTTGCAGAGCATTAACCGTTAAGAATTAACAAATCTCTACACTTCTTTCGATACCCAGTTTAGGTGTCATATCCTTGACACCGGGATCCTATGGTGTTTTATTGGACCCGATACTGGGTGCAACCCCCAAATCCAACCTACAAACCCAACCTCTACCCCCTAGGATTTCGCCGAAATGCAAGAGATTGGGGGTTGGGTTTGTAGGGTGGGTTAGGGGAGTAGGACTCAGTCCCGAGCCCAATGGAGCACCGTAGGACTCCCAAATAGCTCGAGGTGATAATATGACACTGAGGACGTCCAACATAAAAAAATGTCAATAAATAAATAAAAGCAACAAGTTCATGGATATCAAGTTTCAGCTGAACTAACTTCACATATTAAAGTTCTCAAAGATAAGCTTCATAAATAAAGAATCTATGTTATTGCAGATAACTTGTAGCCTAATGGTAATATACTACTCCAAAAGCAATTTACTGTACCATTCACCTCTAATTTAAGATTATGTTACACCAAAACACCTAAAACCAATAAAAATACAATTGCAAAAGTGCAATAAGAGTATTTACATGCAAAATTGTGGCACAAAAAAGGAGGCATTACTCAAGATTCTCTTTGAACAAACGGACAGATTAGCGCCGTTGATGGGGAGGATGGCGCAGCCTCCGTGCCTGTTGTGCAGCCAGATGAGGTCTCCTGTTGTGTGCCTGAAATCCAACGGGTATATCTCATCATGCAGAAAAGTTTTTTTTAGTATACTGTAATTTTTTAAACAAAAGATTTGTAGAATAATAAAGAGTAAATTCCATAAAAATGGTCCCTAATTATAAGCCGTTTTCCAAATTTAGTCTCCAATTATAAGGGACTATTTGTGGATTTTTGTGTGTCATATTTAGGGTCTGTTTGGGAATAGCGTTAGAGATTAACGTTAGCGTTTTAGATAAAATTTTAACGGTGCAGATCATTCTGAAAACGCTAACGCTAAACGCTGCCCGTAGATAGCCTTTTCAAAACGCTAACGCTAATAGCTAATGCTATTCCCAAACAGGCCCTTAGTCTAAAGGACTATTTATGGAATAGTTTTCAACAAGTGACGACCACTAAGTAATTTCTTATAATTGAGGAGTAAATATGGAAAATCACCGACAATTAGGGACTATTTATGGAATTTACTCAATAATAAATTTAAAAAAAATACTTACGCCAATTCTTGTTGTGAAGTGACAAGAGGAACATTTAACCGAGGGTGCTCCATATGGGTACATAAGCAACACTGTGCAGCCCCCACACTTGACTTGTCCTACTTCATGAGCTTAATAATAAAGAATGGAAATGTAGCACAGGTGGTGAGACAAATGAATTGCACAGTTTCACACATGAATGTCAACTGGAGCAAAGAGTTGGCTGAATGGGATGAATTGCAACAATATCAACATCAAATAGAGTTTTCGGCGGTTGAAATGGATAACTGATACAAGAATAAAAACAAATACTACTACGTTATTGTGAAGCACGTTATTAAGGTTAACAAATAGAAGTATATGGATTGAAACATAGTTTTTAATGGTGGATTATAATTTATAACGGATGGTTTGAAAACAATCCATCCATGATCTATTGAATAAAATCCATCAACACATATAATTTAACAGTTTTTTCAAGGTTGGATATCCAAATCATCCATTTTATTATTACTTTTCATGTGTAAATATGATTAAGCAATGCTTGTAATGACGCTTCAGCATATAATTAGAAACCAACCAACCAATAGATCATTGATAAATAAGAATTCTTTAATGGTTTTGATGAGAACCTGGAAAACTTTGCACTTGTGGTCCAATGGTTCCAAAACAAAATGAAAGGATAACTAACCAGTATTTACGTATTCAATACAAATGAATGGAGTCATTCCAATCCATTATTATTAATTGATCTGATGGATTAACAGTTGAATGGTGGACAAATGAATCGTGTGAACATTGACAACCATGACACTTAACTTGAAGAAGTAAAGAGGAAGAAAAATACCTTCAAGGACAAGATTGACTGTCCGGCAGGCTGAACATTGAACCCATTTAGAACCTCGAGGATATGAAAGCAACTGCCGGCAAGTACCGCATACCAATTGGCCAACCTCTTTATGAAAATATATTTTTAAAATGAATATTTAAAATGACAAAAAATAAAGTCTGCACCGATTGCAATTCTCAATCCAGTAAAATACAAATATAAATCTCACCAGAAGACGTTGGCACTACAGATGGTGGGAGTTGAGGTGCCAATGGTTGCATAGGTCCCTTGTCCGTACGAAGTTTTTTGTCCTCATTTTTTATGCTTTGATGTTTGCTAGCCATTTCAATATCTGCTACATCAAATTCCTAGCCATTATATAATAAGAGAAGGTAGATATACATCAAAAGAATGATGATATGTTTACGACTTTACGGTACTTTTAAGAACTAAGAATCTGGAAAATAGTGACTTGATATTTTACAGATTCTACCAGGACCTACAAGGCTACATGCTTTGAGAAAGCTAATTAGGAATATTAGCATTATAGGCAAACGGAGGATACAGTGTGTTATAACAAAACAGGAAAAAGAAAGTTAAAAAAAAGATGAGAAATTGATAACCAGATATACAGTTTTTATAATAAAAAAATACACAGTGGAGACTGGATACTTCAGAGTTCAGAAGGGCTAGGCCGGGGTATACAAAAGGTGGCATTGATAAATTAGTGTTTTCAATGAACTCTTTGAAATCATAGGGGAGTCATACTTGGAAGGGAAGAAAAACATCACCGAACGATGATAGCTATTGCTTAGGTTTTTACATTAGCTAAAGCCTATCTCATCATATGAAGATTCAAATACAAGAGCATTAATGATCTGCAACTCACCAGAAGAACCTAGAGATGATGATGAGCGAAGTGGTGGTGCAGGTGTTGATGGAAGCTCTGGTGTATAAGACCAATCTGTAGTTGATAGCTGCTGTTCAGTTTCCCCATTTCTTCCTACTTTAATCTTCTTTTCAGTATCTTTGATGGCTGCAATACAGCTTGTATCGGGCTTTAAATTAAGGCATTGAAAGAGCCAGCACTAAAAGTTTTTTTTTAGCCTGGGGAGGCAGAGTTATTCAACTATGTCTATTTTTTTTCTTAAAAAATGTCTAACTAAGACGTTTAAAATATTCTTAAATCTTAAATCCATATCTTCTTTTCCTCTTTTGCATTCTCCCACTTTATGACATAGTAAACTCCTAACCACAACACCCAACAAAGCCTAGCTACCCTGCTTTCAAAATCTTGTTAACGCTGAATTGCGGATACAGCAGAAATCTTTTCCCAGTGTAAATAAGTGTTCTGACTACAAATTGCATATACAATGGCTAACCCAATATTATCCAAACTCCGTTGGGATCGCCGGTGTGTGTGTGGGGGGGGGGATATGTACGCAACCTTAAACCGAGGAAAATTAGAGGGATTGCTTTAGCTAGACCATTGAATCCTTGATGCATTTACTACCCCAAAACATCATAGGAAGTAAAAAGCAAGGGAAGTCTAGTGTCCCATTTTGATTAAGCCAATTATTTACCCAAAGCTAAAACATTGTAAAAGATGATGCTTCTAGTATTAGCTTATTCACTTCAAAACATATTTAATCTGGAGATATGATTGGGTGAGCAATGAATTAAGGGAAGAAAGCATGAAAAGCAGAGCTTATAACGATGCTCACCAGATGGAGCTAGTGACTGGGGGAGTAACGGTGGTTTCTGTTGAGAAGAGATCAATTGCCACCCTGGAGGTGGGCCATCGTCATCTTGTGTGACTACTGTTTGTACATCTAAAATTCAGAAGGTAATTCTTGACTCAATATGTGACTATGTTATTGACAACAATAAGGTTTACAGATTCCTTACAAAAGCCAGCATTGGTAGAAATGAAAAAGTGTGGAAATCAAAGATTGAAGAAATTTACTTGAAGATGGAGCTGATTGAGGCACTAATAGTGGTGTGGATTCTGGTGGCCGCTGTTGCTGAGGATTCAGTTGCCACCCTGGTGGCCGTGGGGGACCATCATCAATTCTTTGATTCTTTGCCACTTGTATATCTAAATCAACAATGTCAATTCTTCCAATAAAAAATATCACTACCCAAATTCATATCCATAACTTGTGTATTTAGAAAAGGCTAACAGAGGCTGTTACGGTCAGATTGAGCCATTCATTGGGGGTATCTACGCAGAACGAAAGATGTGGAAATACAATGCTTTAACTATTGAAGGAAAATGTTCCTTAAAGTTCGTACTGTATTTGCATAAACCAAAGCGGCATTAGTTAAAATCTGTAATAATTAATATAATTAGCTTCTCTTAAAGTAAATGACATACTATTACTCATTAAAAACCAGGCTTTAGCATGCTGAATGTTTCAATCCAAAAGTTTTGGTACTAGCACACTACACTCAGAAAGGCACATAATCCTTTTTATTAGCTACTTAAGTCAGAGGAAAGGCACAGTCTTAGGTGGCAAAAAACAAAACTAACCTTGTAGAGATAATAACTCAACAGAGGGGAAAGTGAAAAGTGGTTACTAAATAAAGCCAATAAGCCATTAGAAGAGGATGTGTGTGTGTGTGTGATCTGGGAAAAGAAGTAAGCATTGGTTAGGAGAAAGGACCTACCAGAGACAAGTTCAGATGATGATCTTATACATGATTGAGGTTGTTTTGAGCTTGTGGAATGCCATCCCATGGGAGGCCTGTCCTCATATTGTTTTCTCCCAATTTGTACATCTGGAACTCCCTGATTTCTTAACATTCGTGTATCTGAAACTAAACCACTTCATTTATGCATAAATTCAACAAAACTTAACTGTAAAAGCAATGTTAAGAAAGAAGAACAGCCACAGAATGAAAAGTTCAACTCTCCAAAGCAGTGGAATGCATATTAGTTTCATGGATCCAAAGTCTCATGTTAGCATTCCCAGTTACAACTCATATTTCCAAGCTTAAGTACACCAACAACAACCTCCCATTCGAAGAACACAATTGAAATCACAGATTAGTAAAGCCCAACAAATAAAGAAGAGGATTTCCCAAGCTTAGGTTATGAAAATAAACCGGGTGTTACAATTCTGATCAAATGTTAGCATTCTTGTGAGTAACTAATTTCAAATTTTACAAATTTTAGCAGAATTGAGATAGAAAGGGGAAATAGGGAAAATCAAAATGCCGCAACAGAGATTAACAAAGTTGAGAATCCAAATGCTACTATACCCTCTCAATTGTATCCATAAAATTGAAGTATAATCATCTAACCAGAATTACTGATTGGCGGAGGCGGCGGAGGAGGCAGCACTTGCGGCGGGTTTGGTTCAGAGAATCCCGGCGGAGGGCCGTCATCTTCGTCCTCCTCTCCGCCGCAATCTTCTACGACCATTTTTTCCAGTTTTGCGTTAATAGCTATCGAATCGAACCCGGGCGGAGGCCCATCATCATCGTCATCATCTTCAACTTCATCTAAGAGCGTATCTGGATTGCTGGGAATAACTTCTCCTTCCCTCACCATCTCTAAGCTTTCTTCTCCGGTTCTCAGTTACCACTGAAACACACAAACCCCTCTGTAATTAATTAATAAGCTTTCACATTCAAAAAAAAAAAAATTAATAAGCTTTCATCTCTAAAAAAAAAATTATAAGCTTTTATCTAAATAGCACTAAAACTTAAGTCATTTCCATAAATAGCACTTAAACTATTTTTTTCTCTAAATAACACTTAATAATGTCCATAATATCCAGTGATGGCAAATATTTGCTTGAATAATGATTAATGCATAATGACTAAAAGTGCTACATTGGGAAGAAAAACACATGTGGTGCTATTTAGGTAAAGTCATTACTCCCTCTGTCCCAAATTATTTGCCACATTTGCTTTTTCAACCGTCGCGGGAATTTTTGTTTATTTCTACGTTTTCATTGGTTATTTGATAAAATAAAATATTCTTGACACCTCTTATTTCGAAGAACATTTCATGTAGTTTTTTGATATGTAATTTTTATTTTTTATTTCTTTACCAATATGTAAATAAAATGAATTGAAAAAACTTGATATTTTGCCTGGGTAATAGAAATGTGACAAATAATTTGGGACGGAGGGAGTATGTTTTAGTGTTATTTAAGTAAATTCCTCTTTATCTATTTGTGAAATCACTGAAATACCCCTGTCTAATATCTTAAAAACAATTAAAAAAAATATTCTCTCTGTAAACCATAGATCTTCTCAGACACTATTCACAAGGTCAAACTTTACTCACTTTGTTTATTCATTTTTACTAGTCATTTTGTAAAATAATATAGTCTTGTCACCTCTAGTTTTTTAGAACTTTTCATGTAGTTCATTACTATATAAAATTTATTTTCAAATTTTACTTCTATAATCAATTAAATTGAATTGAAAATAAAGTCGGTCAAGCCTCGTAACGCGTAATGAGAAGATCTTAGGTGGACGGAGGGAGTATATAATTCGACAAAGAAAAAAATTTTATGGGTTAAAAAGGATTACTCCATCCGTCTCAAAATATTTGTCACATTACGCAAAAAAAATTAAAGTTTTTAAAATTTATTTTATTTAAAAATTGATATAGAAATAAAAAGTAAAATTTTCATATTTAAACACTATGTCATAATGTTTTCAAAACAAGATGCGACAAAATTTTTTTACTTTAATAAATAACTGATAAGAACATACGAATAAACAAACATTTTCATAATTTTTTAAATAGTAAACAATGACATTCTTTTTTAGACGAATGTAGTACGATAGTTGAACTTTTAAAGAGTTCAATGAAATTACTGAAAGAAAGATAAAGGAAGTGACACTTTTAAATATTTTAAAGAATTCAATGTCATTTTTTAAATAAAAAAGAAAATGCCATTTTTAACAAAAAAGAATAGTTGAATAAGATCTTTATCTTAATACTCTTAGATAAATTCTAAGTAGACCTAATTTACACCAAAGAATTTATAAACGTTTTTAAGAGCGTATGGCAAGCATTATTTTTGTTGTAGGGTATTTGTTCAATGTGATTTTATTAGCTAAATTAGAGTATAAATTAATTAAATAAAAATTACAGAGTACATAGTTACAACAAAATAATTTTTATGAAAATCTAATTTTTTTTAATATTACGGAGTAATACACAAAATAATTTTTATTTTAACTAATTACCTAAGTTCATTCCTTTTAATGGTAAAATGTTAAATTTAGAAAACACTTTGTGTTAATGTTTATTGACTTGTTGCAGATTCGCGAAAAAGATTAATAGGAACACATTGCCCCGCACATGATTCGCGAACGGGAGCGGCACGCCCTACCCCACATGGCGCCACCCTCTCCATGCTGATGTGGCAAGTGAGTCAGCGGTGGTCATATTTGAAAAATTAAATACCAGTTCAATAATAATTCAGAATATTACAGAGTATATTCCATAAACATTTGAATTGAATGCCTACTTCATATTAGCACTATAATAATTCCTTTTAAACATTACTCACAACATTAAAAAAACAAGATGTTTGATGTCCCAAATCACAGAATTTTAAATATTACACAACTCATTCACAGAAAATCTGAATTAAATCACAAATTTAGTCTTTTAAATTGCATGAAAATTGGGATTCACTGCAAGCTCCTAAAGAAGGCTGGCCAACAAGTAGCTGTGCATAATAAAACTGCCAAAACCAAACCAATCTGGCATTCGATATAAGGTTTCGGCTACCATGAAGCCAAAAACTAGACCATACCAACCAAACACATTGAACTCCATGAGAGCAGAAACAGGAAAACAGAAAACGAAAACCAACCAAAACTGACATGTTATCCGTTTCGGTCTTTGGTTTGGCATTTTTCAAAACCAAACCAGCCAAAACTGAAAGATGGACACCACTGCAAGTCTACAAGAAATGAATTCTTGTTCTGTAAGAGTTTAACCGTGGAACCATGTGCTATCTTTTGATGTATATAGAGAACAAAGAACATGAGAAGCGTCTACTATATATATCTAATAAGAGTTTTGATGTATGCATTTGACTATATATGTTTAGATATTAGATGATTGGTGATATGCCACCACCATAAGAGAGCTGTCTTTTAGGTACTACTGGTATTTGGACTGTAAATAAATTTTTGGAAATGTCTATATGAAGTATACACGACAAATGTCAAGTGAGAAGTGATCTATGACCCATCAGATGGAGCACTAACCGTTGTTGGCGCCTTCTCATAAACAACAGCAGTCTCTCTGAATCTGCTTGGAAGAAAGCACCTCCCCCCAAACCTCTGCTGCAAGTAAATGAGAGAGGCAAACAGTATGCCCACACAGCAAATGATGATGTCCCATGAAGTTGAATAGTAATCCAGTTTTGGGTCTGCATATATGTAACTCAATGTCCAGGTTGAACCATGGTGGCCCCTATAAAGGTCATACACGTGTGGGAGTAAGCGGACGAGTGTGTTTCCAAGAAAAAATGTAGGGCTGAGAGCCTTTTCGTTGGTAATGGAGAGCACGTTGAAGAGGATTTGAGGGAGGAGAAAACCATCCAATATGAAACCGGCATAAGATTTAAGGCCACCCCATAGCGTCCATTTTTTTAGGAGCCTGTGGAAACGGTGCAATAGAGCAGCCCTTCTTTGGTGACGAGCCCTTAATACATGGACACACAATGCAACCAACCCCCCAACAGCATATAGAGGCAAAGACAATAACAGAACCTTCTTATCAGCTGTCCATAGGCTCATATGCTGACTTTCAACACCTGTCTTTCTTGAAGACCATGTCAGTTGGAGAAGACGAAACTCTAACAAGAAGGCTACCATGGTAATTACTCTCACTAACACCTCATTCACCTCAAGCCACACATCACCACCTAAATAAACATTCTGTTTGTTTCGGTTGGCCAAAAACAGGGCTTCAAAGTTCAACAAAAGTGGGATCATGTGTGCAACAGTGAGTAAAACCATCATGGTGATGGATATGAAAGGAAGCACGTGGGGGTGGTTTTTCACATACAGTAGTTGCAGACCGACAAAGAGACACATGAGTGTATTGGAAACCAAGACAAATGTAATTTCTAGATCCATTCTCCATATGGACTCTCTAGCTTGTTCTATGTAAAGGGAAGTTGATACAATCTCAAGAGGTTGAAAGTAAAAATGATCAGACTTCACCCGTAAGCTCTCAATGGTTCCTTTTATTACGCTCTTTCCGGATTTTGCATTCAAAGGTGCATACTGGATATCAACTTGTACTTCACAGTCTGTATATTTCGTATTCAATAAGCTCGTATCTTGTGATACAACATGCATACACCCAATCATGCAAAGATGGCCTGTTTTAGAATCATACAAACCTTCAGAAGAAATCTCCATTGAATAAGGGTGATTTGAATGGTTACCTCCAAACATGAAATCCTTCTCGAAGGAGAAATGAAACACAAAACTTATGTTAACAACTCTGCTTAGATTGCCATATGTTCCTAAATGTACTTTTTCTATGTTGAAAAAGTTTTCGCCAACGGATAAAGGAGAAGAATAAGCCCATGATTCAACCCCGGTTTTGCTTCTCAAGATGGTGTTAAACCTCATGTTGGACGAGTGAGGTTCGGGGTATTTCCCTTCTTTTCCCTTGACTTTGCTTATCATTTTGTTTGCACATGACCTTTTTGCTCTCTCAATCTCAGTATACTCATAAACCACACCAGCTGGCCTGACTTGCCTATTGGCATTGCTTCGGAAGGTCATGTTCGGAAAATATCCAGACTCGTTTGAGTTTTTGGCGGTGCTCCAAATGTTGCCTACAAAATCACTTCTCTCCCTCAATGTCCACCGTGATGGCATTCTCAAGCTAAGCCTAATTGTACAATCTCCAATCAAATGTTTACTCGAGGACACATCACTGTCTTTCAGAACTCTACAAACAACCATTTCCAGTCTTTTCTTCTTCTGGTTCCACTTACCCTCAGTCACTAAAGTTGCATTTTGATCAAAGGGGATCTCAAAATCAGTACGCCTTTGCTTTCTAAAGAACAGCAGGTATCTCACCCTCCCACTTTCTTTTGAACACTCAATCTCCTTGAAGTACATATCATATGGTGTGAACTTAGAGCTAATTCCATCAATTAAGTCGCAGTTTGCACCATTACATTCTGTTGGATACTCCAATTCTACTATTGCATTACCTAGAGCTGAACATAAATACTGATTGCTGCTCAATCCCAGTGAATCATTAACAAATCCATCATATGCATTGAATTTATCTTTCTCTACCTCTTTGTCTATCAGACTGTAATTATAATTCCTCAAAGAAAACCCAGATATTTCCAGAGACTTATTGTGATCCCTTTCATTGTGCTTTAAATCAAACCTCTCCAAGCTACCATTAACCAAACTATCAAAAATTGTTGAAGAGTTCAAGTAACTTAGCTTGAGAGCGTATTGTGCGTACTTGGCCTTGCTGAAACCCGACCCAACCATGCAGAGTTGTCCAGTGATCGAGCTCCAGAACCCGGAAAGGTTAATAACCGGCGGATAGTTCGGCCTCGGAAATCTAGGGGGCCTATAATTGACGAACCGCAAACCGCGGCGGCGGGTTAGGCCGGCGGGAACCCTCTGTCCGTAAGATCGCCGAACGTATACGCTTCCTTCGAGCTTGTACACGCCGTCTGTAACGGTTCGGTGGACGTTACGGGTGGTGAAATGCAAGACACTGAGACTGAGAGAAGAGCCCGGGGTCGACAGCGCACCCAGATCGCCGCCGGAAAAGTAAGCATTCCGCAAGGCGAGCCAAGAACGTGGATCGGCGACAGGGGTCGCGTCTGGAGATACCGGTGACTCTGGGACGACATCACCGCAGTGCTCTGAGTATAGGATCGGCGAAGGGAGCTTCGGCGAGCCGGCGGCGGCGCCGGACAATGTAAGGACGAGTACGAGAAGGAGATGGACCGGAAATTTCTGGATTGTGAAATGGGATTTTGGGGATTTGGAAATTTGGGCACTCTGGTTCTCCATTGACAATACTCCCTAGTTTTTTTTTAGTTCCTAATTTGCATAATTTGTATGTACTCTTCAACTCGGGTATTAATGTACTGTAGAGATTCTTAAGAAACTGTTAAGTATTAAAATAGTGTTTTTTTTGTGTTATTACTTCTGTCTCAGAATATAGTTGTCCAATTTTGATAATATTTTTTTTAAATATAAATCTAATAAAAGTATTTTCTGATAAATATCTAAATCATTTTTAATACGGAGTAAATAAAAATGTTGATGGTTGTGTGGTTGTGAACCACCGGTCAACTACCCCGTAGTCAACACCGGCGGTGGAAACCTAAAGACGGTAGATGATGGCAATAGATCGTAGCGTGACAACTTATTTTTTATTATGATAATGTTTACTCTTATTCAAATTTTAATGGATTAATACTCATATTTTGATATCCTCAAACTTTTTATTCGTTTTGACGGAGTTCTCCGAAAGTTCTTTGGTAGGTACACCAAAAAATTCATGTTATAACATTGTGATGCACATAAATCAACTTTTTTTTGTCTATTTAATTATTTTTATAAGGCAGATGTTTAAATACCATAGTCATATTAACTCTTGTTTTATAATTTTTTGGATGTAGTTTTTAAATATTTAAAATAAGCTTTTGATTTTTACATCATTATTTAAACAATCTAAATTGAAAATAATTTCAAACAAATATTATTATGTGCAATGAGATATTATGGAACAAGGGAGCATTTTACTTTATTGTTCTCTCCAAAAACACTTCTTCTTCCCTAATTATCTTTGTAAACCATCTTCTTTTGAGTTTAATTTTATTTGAAATAGGAAGTGTGATAATTAGAGTTTGAGGTGCATTTTAGACCACTTTTGGGAAATCTCTTTTGGAGTAGATACACATGAGAAGAGTAGTATAGGTGCATTTTAGAACACTAACAAGCAATTTAAATTGGAACGGAAGGAGTATTAACTTCTTTTTTATCCAATTTCAAAATAACTAACGTAATACTATTTTCAATATACAAATACAATCAACAGGTTAAATCTGTCGTCACAACAAAGCGGGGTAAAAATTAAAAATTGTTTAACAAAACAAGAAATTACGGAGTGTCAATTTATACTTCTTTGAAACACATTAAAAGAGTCATTGCCAATGGAGCTAAAGAGCATTATTGACAATGTTTTAGTTCCAGTCACATACTGGACTAAATCAAAATGACAAATTAAACTTTCATTGCTTCACAAAATAACGCAAAATGACTTCCTGAACTGTTTGTGCTTCTTTAAATAACAAATTAGTCGATGCAACTTTCAACACACTACAGTCATTCAGAAGCAACAACTCTATGTTTTAAACATTGGGGATTTGGGATCAATCTTAGTACATCCGACCTCCTCTTACCCCCGCAATGACCGGGAGCCTTTGTGGCACAGGGGAAATGTTGTTGTATTACTTCTCAATTTCTATAAAGTTTTGGGTAATAACTGCAGCAAAACCAGCAATGCGTCTAGGGATTAATAGAAACTTCTCTGTTTTTATAAGGGTAAAACTGGTACATCTTGACACCCCAGACCCCAATAATTCTGGGATTATTTATACTGGGTTGTTGTTATTTAAAAGAAAATCATATACTATTGCAGAGTGTGTACAACACATTTTCACACTCATTTCTTTTGCACAAGCTATCAAACAGCAGAGCTAGATAGTATGGTTCTTATTATGTGATATTATCCATACCATATCTATATTTTTTTGTTGTTGCAAAGTTGTTTCACTCACATGCGTCAAAAAACTAGCTTGAACGGATGCCCATATCAGAAAATGCCTCCACGAGTCGAGGAAGAATCTTCGCAATCATGATCTTGAATCCTTTAGAGCATCCTTTCACATGTTCTTGGTCAGATCTTAGGTGGCAAGAACCCACAGGAGGGTCATCCATATATGCCTTGCAAGCCAACATAATATGCTCGCCCCGCTTGCTCAAGTGTTCTTTGAGAAGTGCTTCAAAATGCTGTACATTTTGTTACGGAAATTAACTTATTGAAATGTATCGGAATTCAAGAAAACGTTTATGTATTATGGAGACAAATTCATCCAAACTTGAATGAATATGCACATATATCATGTCTAAATTCACCCATTGTCAAATGTACCGCGAAAGTCATTATGATCCATTAAAAAAGAGAACGGAGGGAGTATATTCTATACCTTGGGTGGGTTGCGTAGCAAGTATAGGATGGACTTGCACGTGCCCAGATAAGCGTTCTCGTTATAGTTGACAGAGTTCTTCTCCCCATCAGCTTTACCAATCTGTGAGTCATACCCGGCCTCATTGAAGTAAGGCTTTTCATTGAGCACAAGAGCTTGAAGGGAAAGAAGCAGTTGTAGGATTGTTGATCTTTTTGGGTTCCAAACTTCATTCCCAGAGCCTGTCCATGTGTTTAAGAGACTGAGGCAAACCTTCCCTGATTCATACAGATTCGGATTCACACGAAGTCCACCTGAGTTGTAGTGAACCATCTGCATATGTGTGTGTTGTTGTTTTTGCTTTTAGAAAACAATCAATCCGGTGCATTCTTAAATAAGCAGAAAAAATGTCTTTTTTTGCTGCAATTATTTATCCGTCCCAAAAAGATTACCAATGGTTGACTTTTTTGGTCAACCTGTGCAACACTTTGACCACAACTTAAATATAGTTTTATATAATTGAATGTTATAAAAATTTGATATGTCAAGACTATATTTTAAAATGAACCCAATTTTATTATATTTACATTATAACTAAATACACTTTTTCAACCATTTGTGGTCAAAGTGATGCATAGTTTGACCAAAAAAGTGAAGCTGTGGTAGTCTTTTTGGGACGGAGGAAGTATTGTTTTTGGCTAACAGAGGCAATGGTTATATTCTGGCCAATTTTATACAGTATTCCATAGTGTTTTGATCCAATTTCGCTTCTAAATAATATATGTGCTTACGGGTGGCTCGTAGGGATACTCTGGAGGAAAGCAAATGTCAAAGAAAAACAGTCCGTCGTGATATGGGGTTCCGGGAGCGCCAACAATGGCAGCACGGAGCAAATCCATTCTCTCCTCATAGACACGCACATAAATTGCTTCTGCTTAGATGACAGAATATTTGGTTAAAATTTAAATGCATAACTTTCATGCGCATAATTAGAGACAAAGAGTTATCACCAGGAAGATCATGCTCCAAAATGTTCCATTCTTCTTGAACCCTCTTCAGCCAGCCTCTTTTCACCTGTAAAGTACCAAGAGAAATTTTAAAACTTTCGGTCACCAACTTTTATGGTCTCCAGCTATGATGAACGACTATGTATTTCTTGTCATTTTTGGTTTTGGTTCTTCTGGCCACTTACCCAGCCAATTCCAGATAATTTTTTATTGGAAAATGTCTGGAAAGGATAAAGAGTGACCATAAATTCATAGATTTCCACTAAAAGCAGAAAAGATGAGAATCTGCAGACCAAAAAGTGTATAATATGCTAACCAGGGATGATGTCACATCCTTTCCCGTGTTGTTCACAAAATGGTGGTCTGAGCAACCATTGACAATGTCAAACTGACTGAAGCTTTCTGGTGGCAGCTTGCTACTAGTCGAGGGCCCACCATCTCTACTCGGCTGATCCTCGGCTTCCTTCTCTATCACTTTATCTGAATTATTTCTTTCAGATTCCTCGCCGAGAATCTCTGTTTTGTTCTCTTCTTTGGATGTATGATGGTATCCACCAAACAGAGATGTACCGAACAGACTTGAGCTGAATCTTGATAAGAGTGCAATCACAGCTTGAGAAAAGGAACCGCAGCCTGTGGCCAATGGAAGCTTCACTTTGCAAATTTCACCATTGCCGTGAAAATCCAACGGATCCTGATAAATATTAGAGAAATGTGCACAAATCTTACCTCTATCCCTATATCAATAAATATTATATGAATATAATAATAAGCCAATACTCTAACATGTATATCACACTCTCATTTGCCTAAATCAAAAGATTGAGAACAAAGTGTAAGCAGATCATCCTTAATATTGCATTTTTATTGAAGCATAGAACTCAGTTAGCCTTAACATCCAAATAATGATCCAATTAGAGCACATCTTTTCCTAGTCATATTCTTCATGAAAATATTTCACTTATGGTCCCACGACTATCAGGTCATTCCACTATCGGTCTCTGACTTTCATTTTTTTGTCACTCTTGGTGCATGGCTAGGAACTTCCTCCCACTTTTGGTCATCCCAGTAATTTATTTGGCCATTTTCCGAAAAATTTCCAATTGGTTTTGCCTACCGGAAAGGAGAAATTGTGGAAGAACATGCACCGAAAGTGGGAAAATGCTATTTGGTGAACAAAAGCTTGAATGATATAGAGTAATAATCATGGGACCAAAGGTGAACAGAAATATAATCTTTAGAGTGCCAGTTCTTTATTATTTTGGGAGAGTCCATTTATGTTTGAACTGCACTAAGGAGCCAAAACAGATAAGCTTGAGAGGGACATTTACCTTTCCTTTCTCTCTTGAAAGTTGTTTATTGCCATGCAGGTTCGTCCCACCATTTGTTGGCTCTAGATTATCGCTATAAGGTACAAGAACAGTAGCTGCATCTTCATATGTATCTATGCAATATACCTCATAGGGAGCAACCTGCAATGAAAAACACATATGCACATGTATAAGGTTGTGTTTGGTTGGAGAGGAAGGAAAATGTTCCCCTCCCCTCTATTCTCTGCTATCCAAACACGTCTCAAGTTTTACAAAAATTACCTCCCCTACCCTCTCGCCAACCAAATACACCCTTTAGAAAACCTTTTTATCACTAGCAAGTTATGGACACACATACCATGCTTGTAGCACCATTAGCCCATTTCACTTTGATGTTTCCATCATTAAAGCCAACAATTATGCCAATGCTTGATGAGTAATCGTTGCTGTTCAGATCTGTTTCATCCTTAATGTGCACAAGGTTGTTTTTACTTTCCCGCAAAGTTTGGGATTTATCCAAACGGAACCTAAACACAGCATCACCGAAACCGTACGAGTAATCTGGATGATCCATCAATTCATAAGCACTCACAGTTTCCTCACTCTCAAAACTATTGAATTCCTTGGTCCATTTTACCCTCACAGTCCGCTCATTGGTATCCAAACACGTCACAACTCCCCATCTATGAAGACTTGGACTGCTCGAGTCATCAAAAAAATCCTTTTGAAGCACAAACTGGCCGGGCCAAAAGTCATGGGAATCAACAGCATTTACATGAGACAGAGAATTTGCATCTAAACCAAATGTCACATTCCCATCCTGCCACAGAACATCAACTTTTGCCTTTGTCCTCACAATTACCGCAAGTTCCTTCTTCTTCTGAAATAGTTTGTGAGGTTGCTTGCTGCCTTCTGGAAATCCATGAATATGTGGAAGAATGGCCTGTTTGACATCTGGAAATTTCTAGTGAAAGGAAAAGATAAAGGGAAATTAGGTGGAATTTTTTTAAGGCTATAATTTATTTTAGATATTTGTTGACACATAACTCCCTTTTATTTTTCATTTGCATTTTCTAATGTTAAAACAAACATAAAAAAATTACTTTCTTTAGCATTTCTCGGAATCAAAACATACCCTAAGAGAACTTTTCTGGAAGTTGCCATAGTCAGCGACTGGAAGCAAACACCAATCCCCAACCTGCCACTTGGCATCAGAAAAACATGACAACATGGTCAGATTTTTGGGATCCTGCTTATGTGAAGGGACAGATGCCTTCGAATGACCATTTGACACACAACCAATCCAACCGACACACACAAATCCGGTATCCAAAGAGCAAACTGTCCCTATATCTGTTTTACCATTTCTTGTACCATAAAACCACTTGTCTGATTTGGGGATGTATTGGGTATGAATCTTCACTCTTTGCCCAGGATAAAACGGATACCGTGGATCTTCAAGTAAATCTGGAGAAATGGGTGTGAACATATTGGTTTCCGTTATGGTGAATTTAGACAAAAAACCGTCATCAAACAGAACGGTTATCCTATCAACTACTTTCTCAACTTTTCCAAGCCAAGGCCCACATACTACATAATCTCCAATTGCGATTGAACGTACTGTTTGAAGTTTTCTGGAGTCGATATTGCATAATTTACTTCCGGAAATGTCCTCCAGATCAACAACCATATTGACATTGACCACTCTACCCGTCTGCAAGGATGGATCCTTCACTAAGCAAACTATGTCTCCTTGTACAAACACCCTTTCAAAGGATAAGAAATCATCTATTCTCCCAATAGTTTCCTCAAGACTAGATAGAATAGAACAAGCATTTCCACCATATTCTTGATCCTCACTGCTGCTGTCACTAAAACAGTCAATGTCCTTTAAGTTCAAATCCATCTTGGAGCCTGTAATTTTTAATACCAAGTAATTAACATGTTAGCCAATAATTAAAGATAGATTAGAAGAAGCTGTCAATAAGGCTATGTTTGGAATTCACATAATGGTAGGGAAAGGGAAATGGTTTTTTTTATGTTTGGTTTAACCCTGGTAAATAAGAATAAGAATCAAAGTTCATTAAAAAAATCCATTTTACATTTACCTAGTTTTCTTAGTTACAGTAAAAATATATCTAATTCTCAATAAATGAGTTTGAAAAGGCATCTGAAATTGGTTTATTAAGTTTGAAGCGATTTTTACTTCCCCCGCATTTTCCTTCCAAATTTATTCTCAAATCTCCTCCTTATTTTCTTACGCACAACTGCCGAATGCCAAACGGACCCTAAAGCAATGCATGTAACTTGTGTAGATATGTCCTATTCAAAAATGACTTCAGGGACTTTCTTGCTTAGAAAGCTTATTACACTTATGGAAGAAAATCATGGATGTGTGAGTACTGAAAGATCACTGAAAATTAGAAAAACACAATTTTTTTCTAACTCGCCAAGCGACCAGTGACGAGCAAACATAAATAATGCCATCTAAACTGATAAAATGATAAAGCGTAAGACACATACCGTGATGTAACTTTGTGATCCTTGCCTTTTGATAAGTATATAGATTTGCCAAATTTATTGATAGAGCTCAATATATATAGACCAAGTGCAAGATGATCAAGCTTATATGTTTTATATATTCTGTTTAATCGATCAACCAGATCCTGTGAAACAGATGTATATAGTGTCTCCGAATTTCGGAGATGAATTGCCAAAGGAGATTTGCCCAACAAATTGGTCTGGACAACCAAAGAATTTTCCAACAGCTTATTGGAGTCCAACCAGTGCTAAATGCCTCGGACTAAAGTATAAAAGTCAAACATGGCGCTAGCAGGGAAAACAACCTGTGGAATGTAAAAATGCAGGAAACTATTTTAGTTAAACAGCATATGGACAAAAACCAAACGTAAAGCTCAAGAACATGGTCTGCATAATATATGCCCGTGACAACATGTGCCAAGGCTAAAAAGACTAGTAAATAAGAATATGGGTTACTCCTCCCATTGCCAATTGGTTTTGAATTAGAATCTCATAATTCTACAACATGACTACGGTGAATGGAATAGAACAACACAAACAATAACAACAACAAAGTCGTATCCCATGTAACTTGAGGTCGGCTACATGAACCAAAAGGAGAATCACTTTCCGCATTAACAAAAACGCTCCCTCACCATATTTTTCTATCCATAGACACACACTTGCCCAAATTCATATACGGCAAATCACTCCAAACCAATTCCTCCCAAGCCCCTCTTTTGCAAATCAAGTCATTTGACCCGTGCATCACTAGAAACAACTACAACAGCAACGAACCCAGTAAAATTCCATAAAAAGTAGGGTCTGGGGAGGGTGTGTATAAGTAGACCTTACCTGTGCTTCACTAGAACCCACTATCTCCTAAATTATTAGAAGCCATAAATCCATTCACCTTATACCAAAAAAAAACAAATATACCTCTTCCGTCCAACAATAAACTTCTTGTTTTGAACAACGTGCAAAATCCCATCTTTTTTAAAATTACTTTATTTACAAATGGGTATATCATAAACAAGTAAAAATTACATTGTTCAAAACTACATCAAAAGTTCTACAAATCAAGATGTAACAAAAAAATTTATTTTATCAAATGATTGATGAAAATATGTAAAGAAACATAAGTTATCGAGAGGTCGTAATAGTAATTGGAAAGATTATTGTTGGACGGAGGGAGTAGTATATACCAATAAGAAATTGGTTCTTTGCACTAGTCAAGACACTCATATTGATTTTGGAGCATAAACAAAGTGCATATTGTTTTACATGGCATAAGATAAAGCGTACTTTATAAATCAACAAAGAAGACTTTCATCAGCAAATACACACAATCAGAATTGAGAATGATGTAGGGTGAACACAGACAGTAACACTTACTACAAAATTTACCATTTCAAGTTTTCAACCATGAAGCATCCTTAAACATGGGTAAAAAGATAGAGAATCTAAACCCCAAATCGATCAAATCCTCATCTTCCGTTAACTTGGCTTTCCCATGAATTCCTCATTTTTGGAAAAAAATTGGTTTTTTATAGAGGAGCGGCCGAGATCTTCCCGTGTTTATTCTCATCTCAGATGAATTAGTTACTGTTGGAATTTTTCTAGCTACTTTTGAGGAGTATAAATGATCCGATGAATATATGTAGCACAGTATCTCCCATTATATTATTCCTTCACACTGTAGTTGCTTCTTAAAATGTGGCAAACTATTCAGGTTTGAAAAAACTGCATATTATGTACGGAGTACTACACTACTAAAAATCTGGAATACAGAGAATTACTCCGTAGTGTCAAAACTGTATTGTGTATAAAAATTAAACGGTCATGCCACACTTACATCAAATTTTGTACCTCATTTATACACCACAGTTATACACAAACATTTTGATGGTTTACATCGACACAAGTGTTGGTGCGTTAACAAAAATTAACACGGACACAAAAAGTTGGTGCGTTAACAAAAATTAGCATTATCCCAACACAAAATGTTGGTGCACACCTGCGCTGTACAAATGGGGTACAAAAACCTTGGGGTACAAGTAGCTTTATCCAAATTAAAAATATCTTAGTTTCCACTTTCCATGATATTGAAAACCAATGATCCGAAGATATCCTGGTACTCTGTTTGTAAAATTGATAGTTCTTACTCTCCTAATCTCCCAGTAAACCCTCATCTCGCTCCGATCCGAACACACCACTCACCCCCTCAGTTACACCCCCAAATTAATTTTGATTTTGGAGTCAAATTTTGATTCCAAAGTCAAAATTAACTTCGGTGTGCAATTGAAGGAGGTGAGGGGTACGTTCGGGTCGGGGCGGGGTGGAGGGGTTTACCGGGAGAGCTAGGAGGGGTAGGAACCGTAAATTTTACGAACCTCCGAGTCATCCCATGACATTGGTTCCCAATTTCATGAGAACCGGCCCGAATTAAAAAATACTCCACCTCTGATAATTATATTTCTCTTTGTTTTTTTACGGAGTATAATACTCTCTTTATTTCACAACACCAAGGTTCCCATGACATTGGGTTCCAATGTCATGGGATGACCCGGGAGCGCTCCGGTGTCTCGTTCGTAAAATTGACGGTTCCTACCCCCCTAATCCCCGTTAAACCCCACCCCGCCCCGACCCGAACACACCCCCTACCCCCGTCAATTGGACCCCACAAGTTGATTTTGACTTTGGAGTCAAATTTTGACTCCAAAGTCAAAATCAACTTGTGGGGTGCAATTGACGGGGGTAGGGGGGTGTGTTCGGGTCGGGGCGGCGGGGTGGCGGGTTTACCAGTGGGGTTAGGGGGGTAGGAACCGTCAATTTTACGAATGGGGCACCGGAGCGCCCCAGGGTCATCCCAATGTCATGGGAACCCCACCCATTTCACAAAACACTTTCGCTCTATTTTTGGTGCACTTCATTAAACACTTCTACCCCCACCTAAAATGTCTAAAATAAAATTCATTATGTAGTTTATTGCGGATAGAAGTTATTTTGGGAGTATTTTAGACACTTTAGATAGGATAGAAATGTTTTATGAGGTATGCAAAAAATTAGAACGAAAATATTTTGTGAAGCTTAGGGGGTAAAAGGTTTCTAATTTCAATCATAAAATATAAAAAAATATTGAGTTATGATACAAATTTAATATCAATAGATTTATTTTTCAAATCAAGTTCAAAAATATCATATTTTTATAATATAAAATTATATATAAATAGAGATATTAGTGATCAAATTATTATACTAAAGACCGTGGAAAAATGAACAGAAAGATAATTTTAGGATAGAGGAAGTAATTTTTCATGTGTTAAAATGTAGAAGTAGGCAAGTAGCCAAGGGGCAAGGACTCTATCCATATTCAGGAACCGTTCCAGAGACTGTGCTGGGGGGAGCGCATAGGGGAAATCAGACCGGAATCGCTGGGAGGAACGTCGCTTCTGGAATCCCATTATTGGGTACGTGGTCCAATCCCAATTCCGGTATACTAATTTAATTCTTTTTTTTTTGGAAAAAATCACACTAATACTCCCAAAAATACGACATTTTATGAAAATACTCTCAAATTTGATAATTAACACAATTGCTCCCAAATTTTTAATATTTTCACATCGTTAGTCCCACTTGTTTGATTAGCTCCTAGGTGGCAAAAAAGTTGGTTTGTATTTTGGATACTCTTTTTTATTTTAAATTTATTAAAAATGAGAGTCTCAAGTGTTCTTCATATGCATTGCATTCGTACTTTCGTTATTCTCATATTGCATTTTTCATCCTCTTTATAATCTTATGTTTTTTTAATCGATTTCCCTCATAAATTTTTGGTGTACGTCGATAATATCATCATTACAGGGAGTTCCTCCACTCTCATTTCAAAGGTTACTTAGGCTATGTGCATCGTGTCTTTCAAGTGAAAGATTTGGGCCCACTAGATTTTTTCCTTAGCATTGATGTTCACCGAACAAAAGATACTATTTTACTCCATTAGACAAAGTACACTCTATCTTGATCTCCTTAATAGGGCTGGTATGACTGATTGCAAACCAGCTATCACACCCATGGACGCATGGTTTAATTTGTTACGAAACCATCTCTTCTCTTTTCCGATCCGACACTCTTTTGTAGCATCATTGGTGGCCTGCATTATTTGGCTGTCACTCTTCCAGACATTCAGTATGCTATAAATTAGGTGTCTCAAACCATGCATACTCCTACTCAGAACGATTACTTTGCATTGAAAAGCATCCTCTGTTACCTTAAAGGTACCTTGCATCATGGTCTTCTTTTTCAGAAAGGTTCCATGGATATTGTTGTTTACTCTGATTCAGACTAGGCCAGTGATGATCGTCGTTATACTACTGGCTACCTTATTTGCTCGGGCCAAACTTTATCTCTTGGTGCACAAAAAACATACTTAGCTTGTGTCCCGCGGTCTTCCATAGAAGACGAGTACCACGCCATGGCCGTGGGGGTGGCAGAGGCCATGTCGTTATATTAGAGATGTGCTTGGTATTCCTCCTTCAAAACTATGGATTTACAGTGATAATGAATCTATCATTTGTGTCACGAATGGAGAATTTAACAAAATAGGACTAAAATATAATGACTTTTTCAATATATGACCATATGTTTTTATTTCCCAATGTAAGCTCATTGGTCATTATCCATTAGTCATTATTCAAGTAAATATCCACTATCACTGGACATTATTCCTCTCATTAGACATTATTAAGTCCTATTTAGGAAATAAAAAAGTTTAAGTCCTGCATTGAGAAATGTCTTATGTTTTAGTCCTATTTAGCGTAATTTTTTCATAATATCAATTATTGTCAAACTGCGCTAAACGCGCAAGCCCACGGTTTTTTAATAAAAATAATAAAATGTGAAATTTTTTTAACAATATCATGCGGGAAAAAGGAATTGCTAAACTAGTTCATAAATTTATAAAATTGTGTTACCATTTTTTGTGATATTTTGGATGAAAAATATCACAAAGCGTCTTATATGGATGCAAAAATATGTTTTGTTGTACGTGATTTTATTGAATGTATCACATATATACCAGTGATAATATTTATACTTAAATGAATTTTGTCTGAATATAATTTGCATGGAAAAATGTTTGTTTTTTCGCTTTGATAATGATATACTAAAACTATTTAGTATGGAGTAATATTCCTATGACTACACTATTTTTTAACATTAATATCAAACAAATAATTTTACTTTTTTAATTTGATATCACTAATTCATGTTTGAAAAAGGCAAAGAGAACAATATCCTTTTATTAATAGTAATTGAAAATAACATTTATAAGAAATATTTGAGAAAGTAGTTTATCTAATTGATTTTATTTTTTTGTTTGTAACTAGACATGACAAAAATTCACTCGGTATGTTTTTTATTCCAAACCTGATTCGAAAAATATTGGACTTTGAGCAAAGATTTTCTTGTCTGAACCCAAAATAACCCGCTAAAACTTCAGAGTATATATTTAATTTTTTATGCTATTCATAATACTGAATTAAATGCCTAAAACAAATTAACAATTTAAAATAAAATAATCTAATAGCTTTTATATATGTATTTGGATATTTTATTACGGAGGAATTTTTTAGTATAAAATGCAAGTGCTAATAAAACAGCCGAGGACTGAGTACAATATATATTTACTCATTTTAATGTTTTATTATTATTTTTTATTTTTATTGAACCTCCGTCGTCATCACATAATTTTTGTCAAATTTTGAGTTTTTAGAGTCAAAATTAATAAATTTCGATCATTAATCAAATAAAATTTATATCAGACATTGATGGAAGAATAATTTTATTGAATTATAATATTTTTAAAATATTATTTTATTTAATTAATATACCAAGAAACTTTTATTTAACAATAGATCAATAATTGATTGCGATTAGTACAAAAAGTCAAGAAAGACGGAGTACTCTGTTACGTTGTCTAAATTAAATAAAAAGAGCAATTTATAATGAGTAATGCTAGGAATTTACAAAATTGGGAAACTAAAGTCAAAAAGATGAAGGGACATCCCATATATTTCGGTGATTATCATTCATTAATGTTGAATATGAGTACCTAAAATACGCAACTTTAATTTGTTAAAGTGTCAAATATTCCATTGTAAAAGTGCAAAGCAAATGTGAATGGCACAATTTTTTTCTTCCATTCAAATCATGCTTGGAGGAATTGAAGAAAAAGAAGAAGAAGAGGTGGGTAGATTTGTGTGTGTGTATATATATATATAACCACAACCTAGAAAATGATAGATCCATCAATATACACACAATGGCTTCTTCCTCATCACCCACCTATCTTCATTTCTTCTTCTTCCTCCTAACCCTAACCCAACTCCTACTCCGCGACGTTCAGGCCACATCTCGCGGCGGCAGAACTTTAATGTTCAGCTCTCCGCTGCCACCAGCATTCCCTGGCGGCAGTGGACCTTTTATTTACAGCTCTCCACCGCCACCGGGGAAGGTTCATTCCTCAGAAGAACTTATCTTCAAGAGAGAAGACAACAATGTTAATCAACACCATGGCATCTATGGCTATGACCCGGCGAGCACATTTGGTGATAATCAAGAAGAGGATTTGCCCTGATCTATCTTCATTAAATTTCCGGTCCCGGCCAGTGCGTGGTGTTTCCTTTGCATGCATGGCCGCGTTTTACGTGTCGTCGTTTAATTTATACGCACCGAGTATCTTCTTCTTAATAATTCCTTCTCGTGTGCATGGTTTCGTCTCCTTTGATGTTATTATATTGTCCCTATAAAAAGTTTCCATCTATTATATGAGTATTTTACGTAAATGAGACTAAAAGTATAAATACTAGGTTACATTTAATTCATACTTGTAAGTTTAAGTTAAGATTTGAATTGAACTTGTTCTCTTTGTCTGATAAGATTAATTACATCTAATTTTATTAAGCTTTTAGTTAATCTAGTATGATTTGATCGAGTTAGAATTAATTTTAATAAAAATAAATTGTACTCTCTCTGTTTCTAAAAAGAGTTTCTAAGTTGACTAATAGATGAAATAAGGAATGTATATTTGTAGTTGACTTTCCAATTTTGCCCTTGATGTGATGAGTAAAAATAAAATGGGATAGTTAGATTATTAGTGAAAACGTATGATGTGATGAATAAAGTAAAAAAAATAAGAGTGAAGTTAGGTTTTTAATAAAAAATGAAGTGTTTTAGAGAAAGTAAAAAAAATGAAAGAGAAAATGATTTAAGAAACAGAGGGAATATGAGAGTAAGTAATATGAATAAAGTTATTAAAAATACATATAATTGAGCTATGAAAACAACTTAAACAAGAAATGTCAAAAGATAATGGAAGGATTGGAACTTGGAAGGCACATCCCATATGTTTCGGTGATTATCATTCATTTTTGTTGAATATTATTAGTGCCCAAAAAAAGCAACTTTCTTTTGTTAGGGAGTAGATATATACTACTTCCAATTAAAGATTAGTTTAATTTGACTTTTTCATTTTTGTTGGATACTACAAACTTAAAAAATTGATAATAAAAAATCTAAAAACTAAGAAAACTCAAAGAAAAATAAAAATAATAAACATTACTTGCACAATACGCCAAAAACAGTATCAGACGACTGTTGATTAACTAATGTTAATGGAAACACAGTAGTTGGAAAAAAACAGACTATTGTAAGTTTTTCTTGGCAACAGAACAGTAGTCTAGGTTTTATGCTTTATAACTATTTTTAAAGTTTTAAGAAACGGTAATGTATCATTAGTTGTCTCTGTTAGTTCAAAATACAGTTTTTCTTACAACAGTTGTCAATAACAAGTTAAGAATACTCTATTTAAACAATAGTCTAGGCTTTTAGTCTAGAACTCTTTTTAAACTTATTAGAAACAGTTATCTATTGCTTGTTGTCTGTTTCATATGGTTTTTTGCCACTATTGTTTATAATTGTAATAGAAGACTGTTTGGCAACAATATTCTATGTATTATGGGTAGAACTGTTTTTGAAGCTGTGAGAAACTGTCATCTATCATTAGTAGTCGGCTTTCGTCAAAAAATACGGTTTTTATTGCCACATTAGTTAAGACTACTACTTTGTAACTGAAGTCTGGTTTCTCGGTGTATAATTGTTTTTAAACTTATAAGAAATATTATTGTATTGCTAGTTGTATGTTTCATATGGTTTTTTTGCAGAATTGTTTATTGTAAGAATAGAAGACCGCCTTGTAACAGTAGTGTATTTATTTACTCCCTCCGTCCGGGAATGATGTTCCCACTCTACTCTTTTTTCCGTCCGGAAATGATGTTCTCATTCAACTATTTTTTCTCTATTCTTCCAAAATTACCCTTTCTTCCTTCTTTTCTTCCTTTCTTTTCTTTCTTTCTTTTCTTCCTTCTTTTCTTTCTTATCATTCCTTTCCTTTTTTCTTTTCTCTTTCATTCTGTTTTCTCCGCCACCCGTTCCTCATCTCTTCATTTTTTTCTTTTTCTTCTCTCCTTTTCTTCTCCATCTCTGCGAATCCTTCCTCTTCCCTCTCTTCAATCTTCTTCTTTGTTTCTCCTCCATCTTTCTTCTTTAATTTATCTTCCCTTTCTTCCTTCTCCTCCATCTTTCTTCTAGATCTACACGGGGATGGTGGCGGCCGGCGATGTTGATGGCTAGTCTGCACTGCTTCGTCTCTTTCTTCTTTTCTTTCTCCTTATTTTTTTAGATCTATACCACAATGGCAGAAAGATGGGGCTGCGCGCCGATGGTAGGGTGCCGACGGTCGTGGAGCTGTGGCGGCGATGGTGGTCGGTTAAATCTGCAGTAGATCTGTGTACTTTTCTTCTTCTCCTCCTTGTCCTCTTTCTTCCCCTTCTTTTTCTCTTTTCTCTTTCTCCCATATATGGTCTTGGTGGAGGCTATGGGCGATGGTAGGGCTGGTGGTGACGGCGGCTGAGGTGATGGTCGTTTGGGATGGCAGAGATAATGACGCCGATGGCACTGGTGGGGGCTGCAGTGAGGATGAGATTGGCGGCGGTGGAGATTCGGGCCAGTGGTGAGTGCTGTTTGGTGGCCAGAGATTGGTGAAAATGTGAAGGGTATTTTAGTCTATTCACTCTCTTAGTCAATGCTTCTTAAAAATGAGGAAAAGTCAAAGTGGAAACATCATTCCCAGACGGAGGGAGTAGCATAGAACTGTTTTTGAAATTCATAGAAGCCGTAATCTATTACATGTTGTCTATAATAGGTTAAGAATACCGTTTTTAAACAATAGTTAGACTATTAAGCCTAAAACTATTTTTAGAGTTTTGAGAAACCGTAATGTATTACTAGTAGTATGTGTCACACCGTTTTTTTTCACAGTTATCTATAATAAGTAAAGAAAAGTGTTTTTAAGAGAATTGTGCGTAATAAGCGTTTAGCTATTTTTAAAGTCCTCGGAAATAGTAATTTAAAACCAATTGTCTGTGAGATGATTTTTTGACAGAGTTGTTTATAATAAGTTAGGAATGCTCGTTTTAAACAGTAATCTAGCTCTTAAGAGCCTAGAACTATTTTAAAAGTTCGGAGAAACGATAATAATTTTTACAATGAAAATGTATACGCTCTCTAACTTTACTTTCATACTTTCGGGCAAAATTTATACAACAATCAAATAACCGTTTTTTTAAAGAATTATATGGACATGAAAAATAACCACTTCCATTCAAATGAAAGAAAAAGTATGGGAGGAAGGGAGCTTGCAGAGTATGGGATTCGGCAATGCTCCATGTACAGTTGCTGTTAGAGAAGTGCTTCAAGTGTTTCTGGTTTATAGTTTTCTGGGTTTCCTTCTCCATCATTGTTGCTTGTACACTGTAATATAATATACTGAATGAATCTTATGGATGATGACACAGGTGACTGTTCCCACACTATGAAAGAATCACTTTGTTCATCGTGCTCCCCCTCATCCAAGGTTTTTGTCAAGTACGCCAAGGCCTTCGGGTTACTGTCATTAGCACCTCTGCCGACAAAGCAAGAGGCCATAGAACGTTTTGGTGTTGATTCCTTCTTGAGCAGTCGTGACCCTTAACAAATGCAGGTAAGTTATGGTTAATTTATTCATAATTAGAGAGTATTATTATTTATTTTGCTAACAATTCTGATGATGATATGGTTTATAATTGGTTTTGGTATATATGCAAAAAGGCTACAAAGAGCACACTTGATGGGATAATAGACAGTTTCTGTAGTTCATCCTCTTACGCCACTACTAAGCTTATTGAAGACCAATGGTAAGCTTGTATTGGTTGGTCTCCCGGAGAAACCCCTTGACTTGTTGGCGTTTCCCTTGATCATGGGTATGTAATATTAGCCACACTTCCATTCACGTATTGTACATATCTCTGCTCCGCCTTGGCATTGATCTAAAATGAACTAAATGACATTAATTTCATGTTTTGATTATGGATCGCAGGCAGAAAATTGGTTGCAGGAAGTGGCATCAGTGGAATAAATTAAAGGAGACTCAAGAAATGCTGAACTTCTCAGCCAACATAACATCTCACCCAATGTTGAGATTGTGGCGATGGACTATGTCAACACCGCCATGGAACGCCTGGCCAAAGCCGACGTGAAATATGGATTTGTATTGGATTTTTCCACAGAGTATTCCTAAACCAGATCACCATTTTGCAGGTGTGCTGTTCTTGTTCTGTTCTTCCACTGCAATAATTTCTATATATATATATATATATATATATATATATATGTATGTATATATATATATATATATACATATATATATATATATATATATACATATATATATATATATAGGGTTTTTGTTGCCACTTATTTTTTTCTCCAATGTAATTTGTTTTTTTTGTATCTCCATGTTGTGTAGATCATTGCTCATGTTACATTCATTCATCATAAAATGTGAATTCACCTCCTATTCCTTCATTGAACTTGTCCCTTCAATAACAGGTTCAACCAACTCCATGGAATGGCTAGAGATTATACGTTCTAGGTGGCTGTCTCCAATAATTAGTCCTTGATTCACAATAATCATTTCAGGAGTTATAGGGTTTCTGTTGGCAGGTGGGAGATTTAAGTTCAATCCAGAAGATTCTCAAAGGATTGGGTTCCTCACTTGTTCCTCTGTAGAGCAACAACCTGTATCATAGGAATAGGATGGATTGAAAAGGCAGGCATATAGAATATGCAAATTGTAAGGAAGATGTACATATTAAATTATTAGATGTTAATAATATTTTAAATGTATGAATTTATATATTGTTCAATATATTGTATTTTTTGAATTTATATTTATTTGGTAATCAACACAAGATAACAGCTGTCTAATAAAAAATTTAACTACCTTTCAAACTAATAGTTTGAAGAGTATATGTACAACTACACAAACCCATAGTGTTAATAACATTTAGAAGATCAATACAAACAGTTGTTTGAAATACTACAAAAATAGTAGTTCATATTTTTAAAATACAACGCGAAATAACAGTTGTCTGAAGCAAATTTTTTAGTAATCTTTAGAGTAGTTGTCTGATAAACAATTCAACTACTGTCATAAAAGATAGTTTGAATATTCAAGAAAAACTACAAAACATTGTTGTGTTAATAATCAATATACAACTAAAACAAACAGTAGTTTGAATAAGAATAGTGTTAGTAGTCCATATTCTAGAAATACAACAAAAGATAACAGTTGTCTGATGCCATTTTTGTTTAGTAGTCTTCCGAGCAGCAGTCTGATATATCTTTGAATTACTATTTAAAGTAGATGTCTATATTATTGAACGACAACATCAAGAATTAGGAGTCTAAAGTTAAAAACAACAGTAGTATTCATTACAGATAGACAACAAAAAATCACAGTTCTCTTTAATTCTAAAAAATAGATGTCTTTCTCATACAAGGACAACACTAAAAAGTCGTACTCTAAAACATTACAAAACAGGTGTCGTCAACCATTTTACATAATTGTTTTTAAACAGTAGTCTGTAAATATATCAGACAGCTGCTCGGAAGACTATTGAAATATGCACCGTCAGACTACTAAAAGAAACAGTTGTCAGCATCTGTTTTTGACGTAGTGGCAGGACACAATTGTAGGGGGTGGAGGGTTCGGGTCGGGAGCGGGAGCGGGGTGAGGGGATTTGTTGGGGAGTTAAGAGAGGTAGTAATCATCAAATTTTACGAATAGAACACCGTAGTATCTCCAGATTATGCAAGGGAAAAAGACAAAAATAAGAGTAAAATATTGAAAATATAACAAAATAGGACTTTCATGTTTTTATTCTCAAAATAGGAGTTAAAAAGCTTTTACATACCGAACATGATCATGCACATTACCAAAAAATATAGTAATGTGCACATGTAAAATGCCACATTATCACAGCGCAAACTCCTATTTTGGAAATAAAAATATGAAACCTTTATTTTTGTATTTTTTCTATGTTTTATTTCTATTTAGAGTGATTTCTCATTATATCAAGACATTCATAATCAATATCATGAGAATCGTCCCCAAATAAATAATAAATTAAATCTACTCATAAATTTTTAGTATTTAAAAAATGGGTCGTCAAAAATTGCACACCTGGGCCAGCCTCCAAGCGTAATGGTCATCCCACAAATACCCACTTTCTAGTGTTCTCAATGATTGGTTGCTTCCATTATCCCTATTTCTATTTTCTAGCAATCATTATCAACCTTGTTTTTTTTTTCAAAAAAAAAAAAATCAACCTTGTTTTGGAACAATTTTTTTGATTAACGCTAACGTTTTGGATAAAATTTAAATGGTGCAAATTAATTCTGAAAACACTAACACTAAAGGCTATCGTCGGATAACCTTTCTAAAACACTAACGCTGATGTCAAATGGACCCATTGTCTATGTTTTTCTAAAGTAGCACTTTTTACATTTATGTTTAGCGTTTTAAAAAACTATTGAATACCTAGGGCCGATTTGAGAATAGCGTTAGAGTTTGCGTTAGCGTTTTGAAAAAACTATCAATTGGTAGCATTTAGCGTTAGCGCTCTCAAAGTTAATCTGTACCTTTAACGTTTTATCTAAAATGCTAACGCTAATAAAAAACACCATCCCCAAACGGACCCCCGATATCATTAAATATTTTTTTGAAGCGTTAACATTAATAAAAAAAGAATTATACAAAATACTAAAACTAACTAAAAGTATTATTCTTGAACGAAACAAATTCTAAATGTCCAAACACTTTTAAGAGCCATTGGAACATTGTTGGTTGGTAGCTAAAACTGTCTACTACGCTCAAAGTTGTCCTTCCCGGGCTTAGTCAACATGACACATCTGTTTTTCATTCATCCTTCTCACAACCAATTTTACCCTCAACGCCACATTATCCATCCTTCCCACGTGCGCTCTCATTAATTCCATACCACCATTATTTGTTTATGTTGTAAAACAAATTAATTTTATTATAATAAAAATTATAATTGAATAAATAAATAATTAAAAAAACTACTAATTGAAATTAATAAAAATAACAACCAAACTTTAAAATTTGAATCGGTAGAAACATTTGATAGGTTTTAAAAAAATGAAATAAAAAAACAAGTTTAATTAAATTGGTGGCATATTTGATTCTCCTTATTAGGAAGAATGCATCTGGGAAATAGGGTCATATGACCTGAAATCCTGGAAAACTGGGAAGTCTTATGCTGTAGATAACAATCACAATATATAGTGCAAATCCAAAGAATGAATTCAAGAACAAAATCCCCAAAATGAGGAAGAGAAATAAAAATCTCATTTCCATTCCTTTCGACGCAAGACTTGCATGCCTCGCTGTGAAAACACAAAAACGAAAGAAAAAGATGTGCTTCAAGAATGAAGAAAAACACGACCATCACAGCTAAAAGTACAAATCCCCACGACTGAACATGGCTTCTTCACTAAGAACTCTTGCCTAAAGTGAATTGTGGGATGTACAATGGCAAAAAGATGCTCAAAGGAGATGAAGAGCAATTTTTTGTACCAAGAGAAAGATGAGATCTGTTGCACCTGCCCTATGCTGGTGCAGCAAGTCCAACTCTGTCTGCAGTTTTAGCAGCGCACTCCTTTCTTGTATCTATCAGATCCGGTCTCTCAATCCCTTGTATATCCGTTATCCTCAACTTTGTTAATTCCTATACAAAAAGTTTTTTTCCAGAAATGAACTCTAATAGTCACATTCGGCTAGACTGATTTGAGTCATATGACAGCAGAGGAATAACACACATCCACACACACACACACGTGTCTATGGTTAAGTAACAAGACATAAAAAGTATTACACGTTACCAACCTGGCGATGCCCCCGTGTTCGTCGATAGTTCTTTCGTCTTTTTTTCTTAAATATTATCACTTTTGCATCCAATGCCTAAACAAAAAATGGAAAGAGATGTATTATTACTATATACGTATGTTCAAGTGAAAAAAAGACCAAGTGCCCATTTAGTAAGAGGCTTGTTTGGCTGAAATGGCAGAATCTCTGGAATTTTCTGAAACGAAGTGTGTTTGGTAACATCATTTCAGCCAATTTACTTGTTTTTTTTAAACAAAAGCCATTTTTCTTGTTTTGCTAAAGGCTACCAGACGGATCCTTAAATTTTTCCGGTATGTTGCTGCTTCTGTATCGTGTTGTTTCACATGGCAAAACAGTTGCAAATCTAAAAAAGACAATGACATCGAACATGTAGTTGACACCAGTCATACCACATAAGTGCCACATAAAATAAGTCCCCCCCCCCGCCCCTTCATAATAAAGTTCCATATATGGATGGATTAACATGAGTCCATTGCCAATGGAGCTAAAGAGTCACTTTTGACTGTTTTATTTTTGGGTGAATAATGGACTAAAGAAAGATAGCACATTAAACTTCACTTGCTTCTTACTTTCTAGAAAATAATACTCCCACATTCCCTAAATAAACTTCACATTTACCATTCAGAAGGTCAAATTATATCTTCTTTATTTGTTTGTTTAATATAATCGTTTACAATAGAATAATAATGTCATATCTTGTTTTAGAGAATTTTTTATGTAGTTTTTAAGCATATAAATTTTATTTCTTACTTTTACACCAATTGACTCTTGGAAACAACCTCCCTACTTTCCAATTAAGAGAAAGGCGTGTGTGCAGTTAGTCAGTTACCCTCCCAAGATCCCACTCTGTCGGATTTCAATGGGTTGTTGAATTTCACACCAATGTTTAAATAGATTGAATAGAAAATAACTTCAGTTGATGCACGGTGAACCAAAATGTGAAATTTTTACGGACGGATGGAGTACATAGTTCAATGACCTTAAATGTTCAGCACGAGTTTTTAGAAAGGATAAGCTCATATAAGATACTCCATAAACAATCAAGTTAGAAAAAAGTACGGAGTATGAGATAATCAAGGTATCTTACATGCTCCTCCACAACAGCATGAACAGCTGCATCAGGTAATATGGGCCGCCCTATTATTGTCTTTGCCTTTGAGCCCAACATCATAACCTTGTTCAGGATCAACTGAATCACAAATGTGATAGATATGATCAATTGAAATGAAAACAAATATTCGTTTGGGGGCGGGAGTGAGGGACCAAAATGAGAATATACATACACACATGTAAAATGATCTTAACCACACACCATAATAGGAAACTTCTACGTGCATTTTACCATTTTCCTACAATGATAATTCCATCTTAATTAGAAAAGTAAAAAGGTTGAATCTTTGGAAAGCTAACAAGTGGCACTTATTAACATCCTTCAATGTTCTTGGGAGTACTAAGAAGGGAACAAGACTTCTTAACCCTGGAAAGTTGGACCATAAATTCAAATCTGCACTCCTACTCAGATTTCAAATCCTTCCTACAAGTAGTTCCTACCATGACCATTATATGCTATTGGAGTTCAGGAAATAGAACATGTTAAACCAATGACTTATATGGAGTATCAAACAAAAAACAATTGCTAACCCCAGTCCCAGCTGCATTTCTATTTTTAACAACTAAACAGCCAGAAAACTAGAAAAAAAAGTGGGAGAAAACTAGAAAAGAATGTAAAGGTTGTATACACTATTTGTCAGGTTATTCTATTAGTCCGTACCTTATTCTATTACGAACAAACGATGCCCAGATTAAAATAACCTCCATTCCACCCAAATGTTTATATTGGTTAAAAAAACATATAGCTACCAACCATTTTAAAGTGAGATTTGAATTCAGTTCATTTTCCGCTGATCGTTTGGCCGATCCCCTATTCTACAGGATATGCTACTTTTAAGAGACCTACATGTTTTCTTTACATTACACCAGTAAAAACTATACTCATACAAAATATATACTCTGTCGATAGCTAAGAAGAAAATCCAAGGAAAATGAATCTCACCTTGTCATTGACATCACAGTACTTCAATCTTTCCACGAAAATGCTATCCCCATTGCTCACTTTAAATTGGTGCGACCCAATCTAACATTACAAACCAAATAACAGCGTAAAAGAAAGACATTTTAATCCCATTTTAACGTACATGGCACCACGCCTGATTATACACAATGTGCTGATAATTCATACCTGAACAACAGCAAAAACGGGCTCGTAAGGTTTGAAAACCCGATCCGATTTCTCAAGTGGCCCGATCACCTTGTATCCAATGTCAGCTGCCTCTTTGATCTTATCCTCGGGACTCTTTGGCCCACTATCAACCCCCGAAGCACCCTCATTGTCCTCCTCATCATCACTGCCGTCATCAAATTCTTCTTCGCTTTCATCGCTGGAGGCATCTCCATTTCCACTGTTGTACTTGGAACAGAAGCTCCGAGATAGAAATAGGCATTGTGAGTGTGATTTTGTTGAAATGGGGAGGCAATCTTCGGAAGAGGTTAGGGTTCTAAGGGAATTTAGAAACGCCGGGCTTAAAGATTTCAGAGACTTGAGAAATGGATCTGGAGACACAGCTAAGGAAGAAGATTGCCGGATGAGAAGTTGAAGGCAACGTCGAGTAGCCATTGTTTCCTGGTTTTGGAGCTTTTCAGGCTTTAGGGTTTTACGGCTAGCGACACACCCCCTTTTTCCCAATTGGTTTTAACACTTTTTTTTAAATTCCCAAAATAGTCCTTTGTAATAAGGGATTTTCCCAAATTAGTCCTCAGTAAGTTTTAATTACCTACATGGTCCTCTATAATTGAGATTTATTCCCAAAATAGTCCTTTGTAATAAGGTATTTTTCCAAATCAGTCCTCAATAAGTTTTAATTACCTAAGTGGTCCTCTATAATTGAGATTTATCCCCAAGATGGTCCTTCATACATAATGTTACTCAAATGAGGATTAATTGATGTTATTTTTTTCTGCTAAATTTAGAATTAATTCTTAAAATAATCATTTATAATGAAATGCTTTCCCAAAATGATTTTTCTAATTAAAGATGTGTATTTGATTTGAAATTTAAAAGATTTTTTTTAAGTTTTAAATAATTCATAATTTATTTATACTCAATGTATTTTTTAAATTTTACATTTAGTTGTACAGAAATGATTGTTTCAAAAATATACTTTAAATTTGGATTATCAAAATACCAAAATATCTCCCAATTAATCCTCATTTGAGGATTGATTTGGAAAAACACCTTATTACAAAGGACCATTTTGAGAATTTACTCATAAATAATTTATGAATTATTTAAAACTTAAAAATTTTTTAAATTTCAAATCAAATACACATCTTTAATTAGAAAAACCATTTTCGGAAAGCACTTCATTATAAATGATTATTTTAAAAATTAATTCTAAATTTAGCAGAGAAAAAATAACCTTAATTAATCCTCATTTGAGAAACATTATTTATGAAGGACCATCTTGGGGATAAATCTCAATTATAGAGGACCACCTAGGTAATTAAAACTTATTGAAGACTGATTTGGAAAAATATCTTATTACAAAGGACTATTTTGGGAATAAATCTCAATTATAGAGGACCATGTAGGTAATTAAAACTTATTGAGGACTAATTTGGGAAAATCCCTTATTACAAAGGACTATTTTGGGAATTTACTCTATTTTTTTTGTTATCCTCAAATACTCTTTTTTTACTCCCCTCCACCCTGAAAAAATCGCAACATTGATAAATTTCTGAGTTTTCTTAATTTATTTTATTTTAAACATTAATTAAAAAATAAAAAATAAAATTTATATATTTAAAAACTACATGAAAAAGTTTTACAAAATAAGATGTGACAAGAATACTTTATTTTATTAAATAATCAATGAAAATGTAAAAATAAACAAAAATCTTCGTGATTTTTAAATAGTGAAGTGTGGTAATCTTTTTGAGAGCGAGGGAGTATTATAAATTTTGATTAAAAATTATGAAAAAGTTAGTCAAAATCTAAAATTAGAATACATTTGGCTAGAGGAAAATATTTTCGACAAAAAAATTATTTTGCGATTGAAAATTATTTTTCCATATTATTTTCCAATAAAAAATGTGAATATTTCTCAAAAAAACATTCAATATATTTTTTTTCATCACATTCTTTATTGTTAATATTTAAAAATTGATATCTAAAAATATTTTTCAATAAAATTTTAATATATTTGTGCAGCACGGGAGCGGGTGACGCAAAATGGCAAGACAACATGAAAAGTGTTGGCACATGTGGTGGGGAGTAGGTGGTAAGGGTAGCTGGTGGGGAATGATGGCCCGGGGGTGGGCGTTACTCTAGGGTGGAGGTCGAGTGGCAAGTNGGCGAGGGCGAGGGCAAAGAGTAGGAATTTTCTTTCGAAAGTATACAAAAAATACTTTTTCTGGTTGAGAAAAAAAAAATTTCCTTAAAATATTGAATTTCAAATATTTTAGAAAAATATTTTTTTCAATTGGAATACCAGATCGAAAAGAGATCGGTCTGGTTCGGTTTTGATTGTGTTTCGATTCAATTCGAGTCCAGACTGAATAATATACAACCCTAGACAATGACCTAAGTTTGAAATCATAGAAGACAATGATGCTATTTACCAAATGAAAATTGTTAGGAATACACCAAAAAGTGTATCTCAAATGCACACTAACTACTACCCTACAATCCCAAAAAGTGTGTACCAAGTCCAGTAGTCCACCCGTATATATCACTATATCAGCTCCGGTTCAGGGTATTTATCTACGCCACCCTTCCATCATCATCATCATCATACAGAGCACGTATCATACATTTCATCTTTTTTCAATCAAGTATATATACGCGTGTGTATAGTCTCTCGAGTTCAGAGTTGAATACTGCTGCAATTAATGGAGTTTTGATTCTCTCTCCCTCTCTCTCTCTTGTTTGAACCGAAGCTAAAAGAGAGAGGGGAAGATTGAAGGAGAACGAATTTCTGTCTATTTTTTTCTCAGAATCTTCTGATGAACGGAGAGATTATATCACCCGGATTTGCCTTTTCGGTTAGTCGTTTATATTCTGATCTGTTTCCCTTTACCAGAACTCTTTTCCCAGTTATTATACCCCTGAATCGAGATTTTTTTTCTTCGTTCGTTCTGGATTTTGCATTGGATAAACGATTAAATCCGTCTGTTAATGCTGTTAATCTCGATTTTGCATTTGAACTCTCATTCTCTCTTCTTTTTTTGTTGTTTATTCAGTGATGTATTTAGTTAATCCAATCTATTTGAGTGTTTTCAATTTGTCGGACTCTGTGTGGGATTCTTCTCGATAAAAGATGAAATTCATCTGTTTTTTCCTCTGTTTGTGTTTTTTCCTCTTTGGTAAAGAAATACGGAGTATATGCACTAATTGACACTTGACAGCATCTTTGTTCATTGGAGATTGAAATTTTATGATTTTTCTGCTCATGGGTTTGCAGGATTTTTGCATGCTGCATTGATGGTTGAATATTTTCTTCTTCAGCTGCTTTGATGAGGCCTGGGAGAATATTGACATGGGAAACTACATATCATATCTGTGTTCTGGAGGGGATTGCTAAGTGCATACCTCAAGCCGAGCAGGAGAAGAACTTATTTCGCAGCAGTTATAAGGTGATTTAGTTTGGTAGGGAGATGGATGAAGAGGCTAACTCTTGGATAAGGAGAACAAAGTATTCTCACACTGTTTGCCATAGGGTAAATTCAGCCAGAATGGCCTCTCTTCCCGTTACCATTCAGCCAGGGCGAAATCCAAGTCTTAAATCAAGGCCTCCTGTTGCAGAAAACCTACGTGATCCTACCACTAGCAAGCAGAGGGCATCATCTCCTCTTCCTGAGAAGAAACTTTCTGAGGCCTTTAAGGAAGCTCATTCTAGTCAGAAGAGATTCTCAACCCCTCATCCAAGGTGGAAGGAACAAAAAGTATGTTCTAATTCCCCATTAATTACTGGTCACCTTCACCATCCGCCATCAAGTAGGTTCCCTGATAAAACAAAAGGCAGAAAGGAATCCGGTTGGACTAGGTACTTTGATCACGGCGGTGGAAAAGTTACCTCAGTAGGTTCAGCAGAGGATTTCATGATTGATCTTTCTAAGCTTTTCATTGGGCATAAATTTGCTCATGGAGCACATAGTCAGCTTTACCATGGGATATACCATGGCAAACCTGTTGCAGTGAAAATCATTCGAGTGCCTGATGATGAGGATAACTGTGATTTAGCATATCGGTTGGAAAATCAGTTTAACCGGGAAGTTACTTTACTGTCCCGTCTCCACCATGATAATGTTATAAAGGTTATAATCTGCACTGGATTTAAATGCTTAATGCATCTATTTGCTTATTGTTTACTGTTTTTGTTGTCCTATTTTACATTCATCTCATGGCAGATTTCTTCATCCCGTCTACTAGTTACTTGGATTTGCTGCCTGTACAGATTAATGCCCTGTTTGGTAGTTTTAAATGAATAAATGACTTATTCAGCGTAATGGAAGCAGAATTTTAGCCTTTTACATACTCATTTTGCTAAAATTGATTTTACTAAACACTTTTTGTTTCAGAAATTTCGCTATATTCAGCCAAAAAACCCTTAGCAAATAGGCCCTAACACCGAGAACTGTATTTCTCAAAAACTTTTCTGGTTGGTGTCTAATTGTTTGTTGGTGCAGTTCATAGGTGCATGCAAAAAACCATTGGTGTTCTGCATTGTCACAGAATATCTACCAGAAGGCTCTTTGAGAGGATTCCTACACAAGCTTGAGCACAAAGCTCCACCCTTACAAAAACTGGTTTTGATGGCATTGGATATTGCAAGAGGGATGGAATTTGTTCATTCTCAAGGTATCATTCATAGGGATCTCAAACCAGAGAATATACTTATTGATGAGGAGTTTCATTTGAAAGTAGCTGATTTTGGAATAGCCTGTGAAGAGGCATATTGTGATCTCCTTGTTGATGATCCGGGCACTTACCGTTGGATGGCTCCTGAGATGATAAAACGCGAGTCATATGATCGGAAGGTTGATGTGTATGGTTTCGGACTCATTATGTGGGAAATGGTGACCGGGTACATCCCTTACGAAGACATGATTCCAGTTCAAGCTGCTTTCGCTGTAATCAACAAGGTATGTAATGCTCATTTGGTTCCAAATTAGATGTTTTTTAGCCAAACACAAAAAAATACCCATATTAAGTATACCTACATTAAAATGCTTTTGTACCCTGAGAATAAATGAAATGCATAATGTTATACTTGAATAAGGATAGAATGGTCAATTTGAACGGTTCTCTAATATGTTTGCACATTGCACTCTCCTAAAACTTCAATTAGAGGGAGTACATTTGTTTTTTTGGAAACAGATCCTCGATTGGTCCAGATTTCTTTTAAATATGAAGATCCACAGAAGTCAATTTGGACCATCCATAGAGGGTCTGGATCCATGTTTCCTTTTCTGGTTCAAACTCTAAAACACAATGTTTCCCATCCAACAGAATATGAGACCAACTATTCCGGTGGACTGCCCCTCTGCCATGAAAGCTTTGATTGAACACTGTTGGTCTTCACAACCAGAGAATAGGCCTGAGTTTTGGCAGATTGTTAAGATTTTAGAGCAGTTTGAATCTTCGCTTGCTAATGATGGGACCTTGAGCCTAGTGCATGGCTTAACATTTCAAGATCATAAAAAAGGGCTTCTTCATTGGATACAGAAGCTTGGTCCTGTGCATTCAGATTCTTTTTACATTCCAAAGCCTAAATTTGCTTGATCTTTTTTGGATGACCTGGGATATTATTAGTTTCTCCAGGCATCATTGTAATAAAAAATAGTTCTCATGTGTCAAGCTGTTTTTCTTTTTTTGATTCTTGTATATCCCTTATTTGCTCTATGTAATGTGAATTGTTAATAGTCCCACATTCAAGTTTATATCGTGTCATGGGTTAAACTAGCTCATAAGTTGAGTTTGACTTTAACATAGAAGTGTGAGGTCAACATTAGATCTTGGAGGTTAGTTTGGGATTAATCTCCATACCTTTAGTTCTCTGGCCTAGCTTGGATGGGGGGGGGGGGTGTTTGAGGATCTCTTTAGTATAAGTTAGACACAATTAACACAAATGATTAGGCCATAGGAATTATGGGATGAATGCCTTTGTAACTTTTGACCTGACAGATAAAGAGCAACTATCTTCAGATCTTCCCCACATTTTGGGAATCTCCACTTTTATCTTGAGATGCATTCCTGGGTAGCAAGCAATCACACGAGGTATGTTATCTTGAGCTTCATTAATTGCCCATGCCTGTCGAATGCAATGCATTGATTCGTTTTCATTTTAAAATAACATTGGTGTCCCCAGCTACCCAGCATTCAATGGGCTGCCAGATAAATGCATGAATGATGTTCATATATGTTTTCTTGTTGCTGCCTGCCATCAAACATCAGGTATGTGTACATTCTGCAATGTCTGATAGAATTAATATTCGAGTTGTGGCCCCTCCTCCCTCTACTAAGCCATAATCCACACACGTAAAGTCATGTTAGCAGTTTAAACCAAGATGTTATAACATTTATTTCTATGTGACACTTTTAGCCGTGTCACCATATTCGCAGGAAAATGTCTCATCTGTCACATGTAAAAAATGGGAGCGGTGATGATTGTGAGGTTCCTAATAATACCCCTATTATATGTGCAGTGAACTTTATTATATAAGGAGTATTTGTTTGTGCTTTCTACATTCAAGTGCATGAATCCTATAAAATGTTTCTTCTCTTTAATTAGCTAACTTTGTAGTTTCTCATATGTTTGTGTATGGTGATGTACAGAGTTTATTTGTGTGGTATGGTGCCCGTGATCCCCACCTTGGAGGTTTGGTGGTCCAAATCAGCTTGAAAGATGCAGAATTTTTCAGTTTCACAATATAAAAGAGCTAAACTTGAACATAAGAGGCTAAAGAAACCGGAAATTGACCAAATAGCAACCATTGGGCACTTGGAGAAGCTGATTTAGATCAAAATTTTGCACATTTTGCGCAGATATTTTACTCCAAGCAGGCATGTTTCCTCCACCTAACACTCAATAAATCTTGCAAAAGCTCTTGAAGTAGATGGTTAGAAGCATAAATGGAGTAAAAAGAAAAACTAAGCTCAATAACAAAGAACATACTTTTTTTTTATAAGTTTTTTCTGTTTTTCAAAATCTAAATGAAAGAAGAAAAAAACAAGGAAAAAAAACGACTAATCCTATAATTACTACAAATACTACTACATTAATACGAAAACAAATTTCATGAAAGTAAATTGATTATTAAAAGAAACAAAAATAAAATCAAATTAACGACCACTAAGGGGAACAAAAAAAAGTAACAACAACAAGTTAAAGAAATTAAAGTTAGAAGTAAGCATAAGAAATTCAAAGAACTAAAGAAGAATAAACGTAAGTGGGTCATGTTACAAAATGAAAACTAAAATAAAATACAATAATAACTAGAAGTAAAAAGAACTTTTTGAAAAAAGAAAAATGAAAAAAAAAAACTTAAAAAGAAAGTGGGTTGCCTCCCATAAGCCGTCCGATTTAACGTCCTTTGCTAGACAAAACCTACTACTTGAAAATACATATATTCTCTTAAACCATCAAGTAGTAAAGTAAATATGTTTCTTTAAAACAAATAAAGAGAGTAAAAACAAGATAATTTCAAGAATTGACTTCAAAAATGAAAAAACATATTCTAAGATGCAAAGATAAGCTTCAAAGTCAAGTTCTTTAAACAGAGTTTTTTGCATTTTTTCACTTTGAGAGCAACAAGGAGCATATAAGGATCAAGACAAGATTGAAAACTCATGCTAAATGCTCCCACATTAGTTCCCATGCAAGTTTTAACAACTAGGATTCAAAAGTCAGCACATAAGCATCTTTGGAACATAAAAAATCAAATTGCACATTAAAAAAGAATGCAGATTTTTTTAAAAAACAGCACTTTAGATCAACTTTTATAAAAAATTCAGCCCCTAAAACATCGAAATCAGCATAAAAACATCATGGCATGCTTCAAAATATTGTCCCCAAGCAAGATATATAAATTATAGTTCATATTTTAAGGAATGTAGCCCTCTTAAGGGGAAAAAACAGCTAGAGTAGTGCAGATTTTTAAAAAAATCAGCAAGTAAAATCATTTTTTTCTTTGAGAAAACAACAACTAATTCATTCAAACTCAACATTTGTAACCTGCATCAACAAAAATCAGCAACTAAAAGACCAAATAAAGTTCAAAATGCAGATTGTTGCAACAAGAGTTCAAATTGCAGGTACATTAGCATTTCCAGGAACACAATACCACATTTAAACCAGCAAATTTGTCAAGAAAACCGTATTGACAGACCACAATCTCTGAAAAATAGCACCATGTCCATTCAAAGTAAGCGTATATGGTTGAAAGAAACACAACCAGCAAGAAGATATGCCAAACAAAGTCTCAAAAAACAGTTTTTATGAAAAATTGGCCAAAAATCTCACAAAAACTGACAATGGAGCACCAAGATAATTAAAACTGGCTGATTATGGTACTTCTAACATGCTTAACCACAATTCTACGAATAGGCATGTAAAAAGAATTAAAACTCAAGAAAAGAGGTACTACCACATGCTCACTAATAAAAAACAAAGAATACAATTGCATACTAAAGTGATTTCATACAAAACTTTTCCCGGCAACGGCGCCAAAATTGTTGAAGACTTGTCGTGTGGTCCCAAACAAATTAAAAATTTATAAAATATCCTTAGCTAACCCCCAATATATAATCAAATAAAAACTATAGCTAGGGCAAGTAAGGGTCAATTTCTCAGAGAAAGATTGTACTTTTGAAATCAAATTAGCAAGCAAACACGTTGTCACTAAATAAAACAAACTAACTACTACACATATGATAACACTTATAAAACTTTTAATATAAACTCATAAATAAATATAAAAACTTATAAATATAACTTATATAAACAAAGAACTTACAATACAATTTAAAACATTAAACACATATTAAAAATATACTAAAGAATAAAGTATAAAGAACTTATATATATAACTTATAAACAAACACTAATAATATAACTTAGTAAATAAAAACTTATGCTAATATAACATAAAAGGGGGGGGGTTGTGGGATGAAAAGTAAATATTTTTTTGGTTTTTTATTTTTCTTATTTTTCTGGTTTTTTTGATAAAATGGGAAAACAAGTTCAAAAGATAATCAACTTCTCCAACTTAGGTAACCCAAGAAACACCGCCAAGAACTCGAAACAAAATTAAAAAGAGAAGAACCACAAGTCAAACATTACACGTATAATAGGCACGTAGACAATATATTATGTAACTTACACACTTAAGAAAAGAAAAAAATCAATCAAAGGCCGAGTCGATTGATTTCCTTAACCACGATATGGAGGATTGCCAACTCTACACACGGCCCGGAGTCATGCAATTCAAAGACCCGTTTTGAAATATACTTTTGAACCCCAACTCTCTATTCAAGCATGAAAACATACTTTCCCTATAGAAAAAGTTTATAAAAGAGAGAGTTTATTATGCATTCAACTCTCATACATAATCTATTCACAAACCGCCAATACCTTATGTATTTTAACAAAATTTTTCTCCTAATGATGAGCACATTTCACAGATTTCCATGAACTTCTCATACCAATGACGTCTTTTCTATTCACATAAATGAACACAACATATTTTCAATAAATCAAGAATTGTTTTTTATCTTAAACAACCTTAATTTTATGAAAACAACGAACAAACAGACGAAAACATAACGAAATCACTCATAACAAATTCTAAAGAAAATGAATCAACTTATGATGCTAAGAAGTCCAAAATCCTTAAAATCAATGAATACAAGCACAACAAAGAATCACGTATGAATCCGGAGCTCATTTAACTATCTTATGAAGCTAAAATAGCTTCAACCAAAACCAAATTCTACATAGCAACCTACTTATGAATTTGAAACAATTCAACCAATTCAACAACAACTTGCTCAATAATTGAAGAAAAACTAGTTTGAATCAATTCTCATTCATAATTCATAAGGAATTTAATATAAACATAAAAAACCCATAAAGAACACCAAACATTTTTTTTAAATTTCTGAAACAAACTAACAAACAAAACATATAAAATTGAATAAAAAACAAACTCTTACATAGAATTGGAGGAAAAAGTAAATATTGGCAAATAAGGTTACCAATTATTGAAGAAAATGAAGAAAACTTGTGGAATTGGAGCTTAAAGGACTTGGAGAGCTGCTGCTGACCTCTGAACGGATCTTCTGCCGCCATTCTGCTGTCGCCGCGCCCACCATCTCCGGCGACCACCATTGCAGCGGCCTGAGTTGCTGCTTGGCTCCCGTCGTCGTTCCCCCATGTGTTTCCCCCTTTTTGAAGCTTTGATCCATCATCAATTTATAGCAAGATGGAGCTTTTACCGTTGAATTTTTGCCAGTTGGATGATTATTGATCGCGAACGTTGGAGCGTTGCATTGATTAGGTCTTCCGCCCGTTGCGCGAAGAAGAAGAAGCCGCTGAGGATCGAATTTTTTTTCTTTTCTTGAGTGAAGCTAAAGAGGGAGGAGACTTGGGCTGATCTTATTTTTGGGTTTGAAGCCCAATATCAATCTATTTTTTTCAAACTTGATTTTCAATTCGGTCTTTTGCTACATTTTTCTCCACAAAATAAGATATCTGGTATATTTGGATTAGAAAAAATAAAATAAAAATTATAAAATGTAAAAAAATGATTAAAAAAACTACTACCTCCGTCCCAGAATATTTGTCCACTTTCATTTTTACACACCATCCAATACACTTCTTTAATCCATTTTATCTTGTAATTTGTATATTAAAAAATTATAGAAATTATATATTAATAATCTATATGTTAAGACAAATCAAACAAGATCACACATGACTATATTTAGGCTTACACATTGAGAGAATTTGATGAATCAAAATACTTAGATGAACAGTTTCAAAAGTCAAAACTGGATGAATACTCCGGGACGGAGGGAGTACTATTTATGAAAGAAAATAAAAAGAATCTAAAAATGAAAATTAAAATAAAACTAAGCTAAACAACTAAAAACTTAATTCTAAAAATATTAAAAATGCCTAAAAAGAATAAAAAGAACTAACCCAAACCCGACTTAGCAGCAAGTACCCCTTAAATATAACGGAGGAATCTTTAATGCATTTATAAGCAAATACACTTGTTTGTTTATATGCCATGACATGTTCTTGATTTATAAATCTTCTGTAGAAAACAAGAAAGGTCTAAAAGACGTTATGAAATAGAGTGTTTATTCAACAGCTAAGTTGATGTTTTGACTCAACTATACACCATATAAATCTTGAAATAAAAGTTGTAGAATGATTAAACTATGAGGAAATATGGTTAGGCTATGAAAAAATATCAATTGATATTATAATAACATCACTTGATAGTTCAACACGTTTAGGTGTATAAACGAAACATGTGAATCTAACACCTGGACTACATTTAGATGATTTTATGAACAGATAAATCCTTGCCCGAACATATATGTTTTATATGTATGAATGTATGTGTGTTTGTTTATATTACATGCTCAACTATTTGGCTAAGTTGTGATATCATTCTCAAAAAATATGCCAAAATCTAAACATTAGAATAACTCAAGAATGTATATACTTGGGTGCCTAAGTGTTAAAATGAACAAACATAACAAAAATGAAGTCCAACCCAAAATTGAAACATTGATTGAAACTCCGTCCCGGCTCACTGTCAACATAATGGTCGACCGATGTGGAGTATCTCGAAATAGGTAGTTCAGTAAAAGGAGAATTGTTAGGTGTTTGTGATGTAAAACTACGTGGCTAGGTTGAATGCAAACAACCCGGGTAGATTTTATTGCATTCCAAACATAGTTAAAACTGGGTGGTGCTGAGTTTCGAACCCGTGACCTCTTAGTCAAAAAGGCTAAGATATCATGTCGAGGAACCAACTCAACTAGAAGCTCAAACTTATAGTTGTGGTCCAGGAAGAGTTATTTATATTCTAACAGCTAAAAATATATTTAACACATATTATTATTTTATTAAATAACTAATACTCCGTATAATTTTATTAATTGAATATCAAAAATTTAGAATATATTACATGCGAAATGTGGAGTTTAAACTATTTCTAATAAAGCCCCAAATTAAGGAAACAAAAAACGCGCATAAAATCAAAATGAGAAATGATTAAGCCTTAAATTTCGGAAATACAAACCTACGGTAAGTCAAAAAAAAAAGAAATGATAAAGGCTTGTTTGGATCGAAAGGTTTTATTACAATAAATTTTACAAATAATCTCTCATATTACATGTGATTTTCTATATTCACTTCTAGTTTTAAGATATTGCATGCATGACCTTCTATTTGTGAAAATTATTCTATAATCGATTCTTTAGGGATTATATGTACAAAAAATATTTTGTCATATTTGGTTTAAAAGATTGTATAAGAAATATTTTTAAAAATTGAAGACTATTAATGTAATATCTTAGAATTGAAGCCTAAATATAAAAAGCTAACCATCTGTAATTAAGGATCATTTATAAAATTTACTCTTTTTATTAGCATTATTTTTTGTATAATTTTGGGTAAAGTGCTTACAAGGTCCCTATATTTTTTCAAAACTATTTCCCAAGTCCTCGAATTATTTTAACTGCTTACAAGGTTCCTATATTTTTTAAAAAAGTGTTTCAGAGTTCCCTAAATTATTTTTAGTGTTTGTGTGACCCCTATTTTTTTTAAGTGGTGCGTGGTCTTTTCGGTGGCTTTTTCCAAACCAAATTTCCTAAAGTTGTTGTACGAATTGACATTATATTATAAATTTTTGAACAACTTGTGTGTGTTGTTCAAACAATAGCTGCACATTTGATCTGAAAAGTACCACCGAAATGACTACTTACACACAAGTACCCCTAGCATTTTTCTGAAAAGTACCACCGAAATGACTACTTTTGGTGTACCCCTAGCATTTCTCTAGAAAGTATGGGATATGGACCTTCATGAAAACTAAAAATAATTTAGGGACTTATGGAGCCCTTTCAAAAATTATCTCAAATAATTCCAACTTTTCACGCTCTTTTAAAAATAATTACACTTTTTATTGTAAGTGGAAATAATCACACCTTTCCACATGTATGTGAGTTTTGGGTTGAACGGTCACTTAACAAAATTTTTGAAAAATGCATGTTTTAACGTTAAATTTAAATGTATTTTTTAAAAATGCTTTTATAAACAATACTCCACCAAATTAAGTGTTTTTTTAGAGTAAACTAATTATTTTTTTAATAATTGATAATCTATTAATAATTGAACAATAAATTATTCTACACAATAATGAAGCTAATTTATTTACTCCATAACTCACTACATTTTTTGTAAGTTGCAATTATTTTTCTTGAGCGACACTTCGAATTGTTCTTTGATACTCCCTCTGTCCCAAATTATTTGCAACGTTTGTTTTTTCAGCAGTCGCGTGAACTTTTGTTTATTTCTATGTTTTCATTAGTTATTTGATAAAATAAAATATTCTTGACATCTCTTATTTTGAAAAAATTTTCATGTAGTTTTTTTGATATGTAAATTTTACTCCGTATTTTTTATTTCTATACCAATATGTAAATAAAATGAATTGAAAAAACTTGATATTTTGCCTCGAGAATACAAGTGTGGCAAATATTTAGGGACGGAGGGAGTACTATACTACGGAGTATTATTTTAAAAAAATGGTACTACAAAACTTGTGATTTTTTTGATAATTCTATATAATTCTTTTTTTAAAACCAAGGTTACCACAGTTGAGAAAATAATGCAATAATTTTTATTTGAAATTTCACTATATTTTTTGTTGTATTACAATTTTTTAATGAACAATACTCTGAAATGTTTATTGATAATCTTCTATTACCAGTATTCTTTTTTATAAAAAGGAACTATACAAGTTGTGATTTTTTTTTGATAATTCTATACAAATTTTTTCCTAAAATAATAATTCAAAAAATGTGAAAATGGCTCACCATTTTCTTCTCCAAAACTGTACTAATTAATCTTATAAATCACTAAAAAATTTTGTATTGCAATTTCTATCTCGAGCGACACTCTGAATTATTTTTCGATAATCCAATATTATATTTCCGGAATTTGTAAATCATTTATATTTTTAAAAAAATTGAGACAAATATCTAACAAGGGTGCACTATTATATTTTTAAAAACATAAATTTTAAAATTAAAATTTTAAAAAAGTAAATTTACCTAAAATAATCTCACCTTTCATTTATTTGCAAAAAATAAATGAAAAGTGGTCTTTAGCTTTTTAACAGTGGCCCAAAACTTGCACAGATACGGAAAGATGGAATTATTTCCGATGACAGTGAAAAATGTGATTATTTTTTTGAAAAACGTAAAAAGGTAAAATTATTTATAATAATTTTTCCTAATTTATAATCGATGCAAATCAATTTTGAATAGGGTGATTTCCCTATCAGTGTTAATACTCGCATGTCACTCCTTTATATGCATTTTGAAAATATGTTATTGTTATATAGTTTTTCACAACCTAAAGCCCAAATGCGGAAGTTTCTAAACATGTCCAGAACCTCAAGGCTCAAACTAAGAGTGGACAAAAATCCCAAAATCGTTTTTTCAACCTAAACTATATCGGTCTCGTCTCTATAATATATTTTTTGTTAGGAATGACAAAATTTTGTCGCAAACCCATTCCGAATCGTTTTAAAATGGGACATGATCTGGACACACACATATATTTTCCCGTTCCATCTCTTTGTCCCGTATATATGTGTACATCTATTTATTTATATAATGATATAACACAAAAAATCACATTTTTTTTATTTTTCCCAATATAGATATAAAAAATTATCAAGTGATATTGTTCTTTTTTAAAAATAATTATAAGAGAAGCCAAATTTTTTCATTGGCCTAAGGCCCATAATATGTCAGGACCAGCCCTGGACGTATATGTTATAATATTTTTCATATTTCCTTATTGTTTTTTGCATCTTTTAAAAGATTCTAAATAAATATTTCATTATTTATTACGAAGTACTTTCCAAGTCAAAGCGGGTTGCCTTTCCCTTATGTATTTTATATTTTTATACAGAGTATTTAATTTTGGATAATGACAAAGTAAGACAACTCGAATTCATATAGTTTTATCCCAACCCCGAATATTAAGGGACCAAGAGGGATTAGCTTGTAGTTCGAATTGTTCCGAACCGTTTGAAAAAAACAGGACAAAACGCGAAACGGTGTAAAACCTGAACCGTCCCAATCCGTGCCCACCCCTAGCTCAACCTACGAAAATATAAAACCGACGGAAAGTGAAAATGAGATGGGCTAGAATCACAAACAAAAATGACAATTACTTCTGAACTTACATCTATTTTTTTTTAAATTTTTGATACTTTTTCACTCTTTTAATAAAGTTTACAAATAATAAATGTGTGAATATTATGTCATTTTTGCTTCTGACCCTAACGTTTCTCAATTTGAAATACGTACTACCTAATTGATTATGATTTATGAAAATACTTAACACTGTACAAAAATTTTAAGTTACTCCGTAATTGTCTAACTTATACTCCGTAATTTAATATGGAGACATTGAATAAATTGTTACTAAAATGTGTACGGCATATAGCGAATGGGTAAATATGAATAGTCTTGAAAAATAGGAAATTAGTATTTCAAAATTCAAATCACCTAGGTTAAATAAAAAAGTTACAAAAGAAAAAAAAACACCTTGACAGAAAAATTAATTTACGGCGATCCAAAAGACAGAGAGGACTGGGGTCACGAGTTGGAGAGAGGTACATTTAAGGAGGTAGAAATTGTCAAGAATTGAAAAGGCCATAATTTAGAATATATTCTTTAGAGCTTAAACTCCTAATATTTAATTTCTTCTAGTTTTTTTCTGCTTCTTTTAGTTCTTTCAGATTTTTTCAGTTTTTCCAGTTTCTTCTAATTTTTTCCAGTCTTCAAACTATTCTTATTTTCTCCAATCTTTTTTTACTCTCAAATAAAGACTCTAAAAATAAATTGCTTTTAATGTATTATTACTATCATTATTATTTGTATTATTATTAGTTTTATTCTTAATGTTACTACTATAGTTTCTAAATTATTTCAGTTTTTCTATTTTTATTTTTCCCATGTCACTATTTTGTGATTCACGCTCATTATTAATTTTTTCAATTTTTAACTTAAATAATACAGAATACAATTTTATTGAGAAAATCATTTATATTTTAAATTTACTTGACACTAAACTAAGTTAAAAAAATTATTGATATTTTATTAATCTGTATTAACCTGGGAAATATATCAATATTTTAAATTAGAAAATACGTAATAATTATACTCCCTCCGTTCTCAAAAACACTTCCTCTTTCATTTTTTCACTTTCAACAAAACACTTCCACTTTCTATTAAAAAACCACTTTTACCCTTACTTTTTCATACCATACCTATCACATCATACTTTGTCTCTAACAATTTATTCATCACATCTTACTTTTACCTATCACATCAAGGGCAAAATTGGAAGTCAACTACAATTTAATACTTCCTTATTTTTACACAAAGTCAAAAGAGGAACACTTTTTCCAAACGGAGGGAGTACTATTCTCTGTTTCTAATACATAGAATAGTATTTTAAATTAGAAAATATGTAATAATGACATACACTATTCACATGATCATATTTTATTCACTTTCTTTACTTATTATGAATATAATAATAATATAAATGTAAATAACAACAACAACAATTACAAATGGCAATAAGGGGCGGATTTTTGCCGCTAAATTGCGCCTCAATTAGCGGCAGATTATTCTCTGCCGCTAAATTGTAGCTAAATCGCAATTAGCGGCGGATTTTTCGCCTTTGAGATGGAGCATTTTTTACACCTCTTTTTTCCGCAATTTGTGTAGTGAAAATTAGTAAAATTTGATTAAATAAAAATCAGTTGGTGAAATTTTCTTTTCGGAATAAAAAAAAGAAAAACATAGTGTAGGAGTATGCTTGTGTAAAAAGGGGCAAAGAGAGAGAGTCAGGAGCAGGGCTTTTGACTTTTTTTGTTTTGTTTTTGAAGGTTAGTTTTTGACTACTCCTCCAGGGCCCTTATTTTTTTAAGCTATAAATACACAAACCCATTGTCACACCTTTACCACATTGCTTGTTGAGATATTGCGAAAATGGCTAATTCCCAATCTGCCCTTCCCTTCTTCTTCCTCATCTCATCACTCTTGCTCCTCTGCTCTGCAGTCTCAGTCCTTGCACGTCAAGCTCCCCCTTTGACCCCTGCACCAGCCCCTGCCTCCACTGTTGACCACCGCAACCACCCTTCTCCGTCCACCGGAACACCGCCGGGAGCCGCCCCTACCAAGCCACCACCACACCATAATGCAAAGCCTCCCACCGGCCACTCAGATTCCCCAGCTCACCCCCCTACCCACCACCACGACCACCACCACCACAGTGACCACCACCACCACCACAGCGACCACCACCTCGACCACCGCCACCACCATCCTCAAGCTCCGGCAGACGCCCCCCGGAAACCAGGTCCATACCCCACAGCTCCCGCCCCTCATCACCATTCCCACTCCGTTACCGCATAATCATCAAAGAAGTTTAATAATGCCCATGTTTTAGTTAAATAAATAGTTTGGTTTCATTATTGTGTTGTACTCCTAATTATATTTACTTTTTCATTGTTGAGTGGACTTATAACACTCCTTCAAGGTTTCTTGTCGGTTCTTTCCCTTGATGCCTTTGTTGAACCGACAACAACTATGAATTTCATATGATTTCTATGTCCTCGATCGAGCATTAAGAATTCCATATGATTTCTATCACTTTCTATGAATTGTGTTTATATTAACAAATTGCTATGTCTGAGAAGACTTTATACTGTGTACTTTATTTTTGACAACTTTTTGAAATTATTGTCTAGTTTGATTTTTTTAATTAAATTAGACAAATTTTAACTATCAATTAAGTAAAATAATGATTCTATTATTTCAAAAATAATTTAATGAGATTTATCTTCACGTAACTTTCTTATTTTTTTTTTGTAATTTATTAATATTTAACACAAACTTAATACACGCAGTATTTGATAATTAAAGTTTATCTAATTTGATTCAAAAAATCAAACTGAATGAATACTCGAGAGCGTGCTTCTTATTTTGTACTCCGTAATAAATACTCCGCATGTGCCTCGTAAAAAATGTGTCTCATAATTTCTACCCTCATCTAACAAATTTTCACCATATATTTTTAATTTTAAATATTTTTTTTTGATAGAATTTAGATTTGGGTATGACAACTGGATTGGGTAATAAGACACTTGGGCTGAACCACATTAAAAGATTGAATCCAATCGATTAGTTAATTCAACTCAAGGGCTTATATACCGGTTTATATTCTCTCCAAGTTCCGATGTGAGATACTCTTTTAACACTCCCCCTCAAGTGGACAACCGGGTCATTTTGAATCTAACCGGTTGACCACTTGCAAATGAATTTCCATTCCCTTGACTTTTTTTTTGAGCGCCAACACCTAAAGGACCACGAGCCGCTGGGTATGGACTTCCAGACGAGCAATCGTGTTAAACAGGCCACAGGCCGTTGGGTACAACATCCATACGGACAACTGGGCTAAAGATTAACGGGCCGCTAGGAATGAACGTCTAGACGGACACCTTGACAAACGAGGTGGGCTAAAACTGGCTCTGACACCATGATAGAATTTAGATTTGGGTATGACAACTAGATTGGGTAATAAGACACTTGGGCTGAACCACATTAAAAGATTGAATCCAATCGATTAGTTCATTCAACTTAAGGGCTTATATACCGGTTTATATTCTCTCCAAGTTCCGATGTGGGATACTCTTTTAACATTTTTGAACTTCAAAAAATCTAAAGCATAAAATACTTTATGAGATGAAATAATTTTATTACGAAGTATTTCTCAATAGAACATAAAAAAAGATTTAAAGAATATGAATCAAGTTCTCCCTCCGGTCCATTTCTAACTTTGACCATAAACTATTAAAAAACTATATTTAAATTCGACTAGGATCTTTTGATCTTGACATTTATGACACGGTGGGACATCTACGTTACTTCGTTGGTAAGATTGATGTTTTATATCTCTTAACTCCATCCCCTACACCCCATGATTTTCCCTTCCCTCTCCCTCCTAAAATGTTGAGGGGGCTAGGGATCGGGTGGGATGCAAGAGACAGCAGAGTTAAGAGTAGCAGGAACCCCAATTTTATCAATGGAGCACCATAAGTACATTTGTAGTCCTTCACTTAAGGATATTTTTCCACGGATAATTCTTTATTTGGTTGTTTACCATGTTCATGTTAAATTGAGGACTAAAAATTTTATTTCACATCGACTCTAAGCTCGATAATGTATTTTGGTGTTGGCTTGCAAGATAAACAAAAACAGTGACTATGACTCCGAAGTTGGATTCCGACCAATGACGACAACTATGGCCTATGGTTGTGATGGGTAGCGACTCCAACAGATAAATGACAAATCAGTAGCGACCTCTAGCATTGACACTAACAAGAACGATATAGAGTCGATGTGAAATTAAACTTTTAGTCCATAATTTAACATGAGCATGATAAAAGACCAAATAAAGAATTATCGGTGAAAAAATATCCATAAGTGAAGGACTACAAATGTAATACGGAGTATGTGTTAATAGCTAGAGAACTAGATAATAAAAAAACTTTCAATTTTAAAAGATCATCATCATAGAATTTACTCTATCTTAAATGTGTCAGTGTTGTTAGATGACATCAGGTTTCTTTGTCGATGGATCCTTTCCATTATCACAAGAGTAAAGCTAGTTATCACCAACATTTTGAAGTTATTATGACCCCAAACTTTATAGGTACACATACACAATTATAGTGTGTGTCGCAGAGACAACATTTATTTGTACGTATCTGTACAAAACTTGAGGTCATTCTAATCCTAAAATATTGGAGTTAGGCTAATGCGACTCTTATCCATATGCGTGGCAAAATTTGGCAAAATTTGACCTGACCCATTATTTATCCAAAACCTAACCTAAAATTAGCAGGTTTTAAACATTAATTTTGTGACCCAAACCTGAAATGACCCAAACTCGAAGATCCGTAATTTCACAATGATAATATATATCTTTTTTGTTATACACAATTCCAAAGACTGCTCATGATGTGTTATTTGTGAATTACAGTGGCTTTTTACTACAACCATAGTCTACAGGTGTGGTCTTTCGTTAGATTCCTAGCTCAGAATCATAGTCATTATTTTTGTGTTGTTCGTTTAACCAATATCAGATTACGTCACTGGATATAATGATAATGTCAAATTATATTTTTAGCCTTTAAATTAACACTAACATGACAGAAGATTAAAAAAAGACCATTTATGGAAAGACACCATAAAAGAAAGACAAAAGAAGTAATAACAGATAATAGATGACTGAAAATGGAAACCCTCATATTATAAAAAACCAATCATGGAATATACTCTAACTTAATTCATAAAAATTTAAAAAATAATTGTAGAATCCCACTTGGTATATACTTGGTGTCTACCAAGAAAAACATATACATGCACAAATACTGTGTAAGCATAGATATTGAATGTCTAGTGTGCTTATTTTTGCTCTGGTGTTTACACCAAATGGAGTCCTCATAGCACTCATCTAAAATTACACTGAGTAAAACTAAAAAAAGAAACATTTCAAATTAAAAAAATATACTGATTTTTTTTTGGAAAAATATACTGTACTTAGGGGTATTTTTTTATTTGAAAAAAATTCAAACAATCATACTATGGATACACCAAGAAGTGTATCGCAAAGTATACACCAACCAAAAAATTCCCTTAAAAAAATGTACTGTCATTTTCTCTTAATATAAACTATCACAGCAGCATAAAATATTAATGCATGCCTTCGGGATAAGATGTGGATACAATTTTTTAGGGTAAATTTCACCAATGGTACCTGAACTTTAGCTGGAATTTCGAAGTGGTACCTGAACTTCAAATCCTTTCACAAAAATCCCTGAACTTACACAATCCTTTCACTAATGAGCCATTAGCCCGTTTCTAGGTTAACTTCCGGTCATTAGGGCCAAATTCGAATTTTATACTCCGTATATTTTAAAATTTTCAATTTGACCCCATTTCTTCTTTTCTTTTCTTCTAGGCCCCGCCGCCGCCGCCCGCCGGTCAAAGTCGCCGGAAAATGAACTTTTTCCGATTCCGGCGGGACCAATGTCATTCTCTTCGTCTTGAGACGAGGATCAATAATATCCAAACCATTTTGTCTAATTTGGCCTGTAACTTCTCGAATCTGGAGGTCGCCCGGATGCCACGACCGCATTGGAGT